CTGGGCTTTACGATGTGGCTTGGCAGTTCTTTCCTCTGTGGATTCACAGCTATCTAAGATTTTGTCTGGGTGTTCTCACTGGAGCTCGGAGTAGACCATGACTCCTCGCCATGTTAAGACAACAGTGGGAATCAGTACACTCACTGAGCAAGTTCTCGCCACGCCGCGCTCTTTTCCCTTGGCCTCAGTGCGTCAAGAGATGGGTAGTCTGGTCACCCTGTCGTTTCTGCTCACTGTTGCTGGGCACGTTGCTGCCCAGGCCTCCATCTCACTGAATTTGTTGTCAGATCTTTTTAACTGGACCAACGTCAGTGGGGTCTGGTTTGTGTCATCGGCACTCCTCTGCTGTCTGGCTGGGGCTTTGAACAGTTTGCCCTTTATAAGCCTCCAGCATTAATAGGAAAAGACTGAGGGGCACACAAGGGAGCATTTATAGAACAGGCTGTAGAAAACTCCCAGCTGCCCCATAAAACAAGAGTTCCTCATTAAGGGGGCTTTTGAGCAAAGGTGATTTTTTTCACATGCGCCAAACATCATAGAGCCTCTCCCTCCAGTCTTATAAAACCACATCTGAGTTTAAAAAGGGAATATCTCAAAGGACAGGCTTGTGTCACCCAAGTAGGCAGGCAGGAGACCGGGGACTTCGTAGTTAGGAACTGCTGAGTTTCCATAGAGGCCTATTTATCCCACACTTTGCAACCTGGGCCCTGTCTGTAGGCCCGGTAGCTTTGAACAAACTGCCTCGGAAAGGTGCGCTGTGGCGGCATGGTGCGGTTGTGTTGGGAGGTTTTAAGGCATATTAGTAGCTTCTGGAAGGAAGTGAAAAATAGGGGATGGGAGCTTAGAGGTCAGAGGGGAGTGTTAGCCACATATCAGCGAGGAAATTAGAATGAAGCGCAGTCGGGCTCCTTTCTCCTGTGTGCCCAAGTGTAGAGAGAGTTAGCTAATTGAAACATCCCATCCAGTTCTTTCGCTCATTCATTTTACATGCAAGTGATTACTGGGTGCCTCCTGATGCCGAGTAGAAAACTAAGGCACAGTGCCCCCCACTGCAGAGCTTGCAGTCTACTCCTAGTTATTATCTAAGACCCTTTTAAACGGTACCATTTTTAAGGGAAAGGATGACATCCAATAGCCTGTGACCTACTGGGCCACAGTTTCTTCATGTTAAAATGGGACTATAAATAATAGTGTCTGCGTCATGGGGTTGAGATAACACATAAGCATTTAGCACAGTGAGTTCTCAATAAATTTAGGTATCTTTTTGTTGTTGTTGTGTTGCCTCCCATGATAAAGTGCCAGAAGTCTTGGAGGAAGGAGAAAAAGTTCTAAGGTCCCAGACAAGACGACAGGCTCTCCTGAGCACCAAGAGTTCCGTCCACTTAGCTGCCCAGGACCTCCACACCTGCAGTCGCAGCCTTGTAGGCACGCTTGGGAGACCCCATTGAGGGAAGAGGAGAGAAATGCAGCTTAGGGGGAAAGCTCTATAGGCAAGAAAAGTAGAAGTAGGGAGGAGGAAAGACTAATCAGGGTGAGAGCAGCTGGTTAACTTAAAATCTCTTCTCTCTGAACCATCGAAATGGGTGTGTACAATCTCCACCTTTCCTTCAGGTCCTCAGATGAGAGACCAAGAACTTAATATTTGAAAAGGACCCTTTCTCAGGCTGGCCCCACTCGTTTTTCCTGGATGTGTTGTAGTCCTTGTAGTCAACACAATTTTTCAGTGATTGTCCTTACCGTTGGCCAAGAACTTATCAAGAACCTCAAGGTACACCCCCAGTTTTCATGGCAGTTGCCAAAGGCCTAGTCAGTAGCTCCCCCAGTGAGCCCAGCCCCTGTCTTTCCTTCCCATCGGGCTCAGTCTACATCCTCAGCTGCCTTTGGACATGTTCAAGTGGGAAGTATTATGTGTAAGAAGTATAAGATGACTTACTTGGACTTTCTCTTAAAGAAGTTGGAGCCGTCTGATGAGTTTTCTTTTTTAGTTTGCAAAGCAGTGTCATTCTGTCCTTAGAGGAGGTATATCAAAGCCATAGCAACATTAAGGTAAAAGTTATTTCTACTCTGAGGTCCCAAGTCACTACTTCCTGATTTTGATCCGTTTGTTGTAAAACTCTGTTTTGTTTTGTTTTATTCATAATGAGGGGGGGAGTGGAGTAGGAAAAGACTTTGCTTGTTTTTGTTTTTGTGTTGCTTTATCCCAAGAGGGGCAAGCTTTGATAATGTTTATAATTTGTTCTTGAAAACAGAATATGTTCCAGAACACAAAATTGGGAATAGTTTTTAGAACTCCTAGACTGTGATGTCTGATTCTTGCAGTTACCTTCTCTTGGTTCAGGCAAAGAACACCTTTTCTTCCTTATTAGAACAGTTTCTATTTCTACCAGGGCCATCCTAATAGCCCACATTAGGACTAAATATAATATATAGAATATATAATTATATATGTTTATAAATGATATATTGCATATTTGTTAATAATATACAGAGGGTGCCAAAAAATGTATACACATTTTAATAAAGGAAAACATTATTAAAATTGTAATAATATATACCAATAACAAAAGATGCACACAAGTCATGTGTATACATTTTTTTGGCAACCCTGGTATATTGGCTTTCTTTTTTCCTGTCTTCTTGTGCTTTCAGAATCTTTTTTGGGGTTCAAGGAGCTAGATAATCACAAATCTATACCCGGTAATGTTACCTATCAATACAATTCACCCAGCCTCATGTGAGTGAGCAGCAAAGTTGAGAGCCTGACTTCGGGGTCAGGTGGATAGGGACCCACTTCACAGTGAGCCTGCAGTCAAGTTAATCCCTTTGGACTTGGCTTTTTATTCTCACCTTAGCGGAACTCTGTAGGGCTTCCTAAAGGAAACCATGATATTACGGCTTCACTTTACAATTAAAAACATTTCCTAATCCTGCAGCAGAAAACAGGGAGAACGTTCTAGCTCACTGCTTTGCTTAGGACCCGCACAGGAGCACTAATGGGCCCACGTGGTAGATCCCGCACAAGGTAGCCTCTCTACTCGCATAAATGAAGACGCAGGACATCTGTACAGGGACTTTCGCCTCTGGATGCAGAGCCCAGAGCCTAGAGCTTGGTTACCCAGCTCGAATAGTCCTATTCAGGATGATTTGCTAGGGCTGCTCATGTCTCAGCCATAGATGTATGCTTTTCCTGTCCACAAGCATCTATGTTTCTAGCAACTTCTGTCCTTGGACAAAGACAGATGGAGGAGGAAGCATTTAGAAGGACCTGCTTAGCAATTTCATATCCATTGTTTAATTTAATTCCCTGAAGAATCCTGTGAAGGAAGTAGTATTAGCCCCGTTTTATAGATGAGAAATTTGAAACTCTGAACAGTGACTTGCTTATGGTCACACAACTTAGAAGGCAGAATTGGGCCTCCAGAAACGTTAACCCGATTCTTCTGACTCCAAATCCAAAGCTGCTTCACCTCCCACACCTCCCCTTAAGGAAGAAGAGACATAAAATCACTTCAAGTTACATGGGGACTGTCCCCATTCATTGTGGGCCTTGGGGAAAATCGCTGCCCTCGTGGGCCTTCGTCTCGCCAGGAGTGAAACAGGACTGACACTGCCTTCCCCTTTCCACTCACTTAGGGATGCGTGAGGTCAAGGGAGTGATAGGTTGGAAAGATTATTGGAAATGTGCTTTGTAAATATGAGGCATTAGATTATGACTTTCACAAATGTTAACGTCTCTGGTTCATCAGATTTCTGGGCAGTTCCCTCTTGGTTTTATTGGAAGAAATGTGGTGGAACGCGAATTTTTAAAAATAATATTTATAACAGCAATCTCTTGCCATATTACCACATTGAACCCAAATCCTGGAATTTCCCAAAACCCCTTAAAGATTGATTCTAGTCAAGTAGACAGTTTGTCCTCAGGGCAATAAACTGGATTCTTGCTTGTGAAAGCAGACTAGACTCCCAAGTTGGTCTGCCCCATTTTGCTCCCTACCCATGAGCAGATAGAATCGTGATCCTTGGACTTTCTCCGACCTGCTCCCTCCCTCCTAACCTCCATCCATAACTCAAGCTTTGGGCTAGTGTTGTGTTAGCTGCTGTTTACCCTCTTACATAGGTTCCTATTGGAACAGGGCCTGGGCCCCGGGGCTTTCTACTTCAGGCCTCTTTGCAGCTCTCTGATTAACTGACTCCAGGCACCAGGCCTTCCAGCATTACTGCTACTTGTCCCAAAATATTATAGTCCTCCAGTCCCAATTGGCCACATACTGCCCACAGATGACATCAGCAAAGTAGTGTGGTGTTAGTGAAAACCATCTCTCTGCCAGAGACCGGGCAAGTAGCACGGGATGTGGTCCCTTCACAGCCTGCTGCAGAGGTGGTCCTTGGAGAGGGACTAAGGAGGCATCTGAATTTGTAGGAGATGAGCTCTGTCAGGGGAGCAGTGAAGATGGTTACACAGCCACAGTCCCTGGGGTGCGCTGTCATTGGTGTGGCTGACCCGGCCTCAGGGCCACTTCTGGGTTGCCCACACAGCCCAGAGATTTTTATTTATTTTGGTTATTCTTATTACTGAAGGCAACTGGTGAGAGGAAGTAAGAGTTAAAAGTTCAAAGGTACCTCACCTGGTTGTGCTCTACAACAGGGACAGTTTCGGATGCAGGGTTTCTAGTTTTTAAAAAAACAGACGTGTGCTGCCTGACCTACAATATCTGGAGAGGAAGCCAGTCTGCTGGTTGGAGGAATGCCCCAGAGCAGGCAGGGCCTCCTGTCTGCCGAATATTGCCCCCTCAAAATTAGGAGTATCGGAGCAAGATGAAATCATTCCTCAGAAGAAATTCAGGCTGAGCTCTCTGGGTAGTAATATATCATTGATGCTCTCTCTACATCTGCAAGACATTGTCCCCAACGTGCTGGTGAGCCACCTGCCCACAAGTGACCCCACACCTCCCACACTCCGACGTGTTGAGTGTAACCACCTCTTCCTTTTGTTTTCCCAGCATTAATAATAAGCTACAGCAGCCGGAGGCAGCTGCCGGGGTGTTAGAATATGCCATGAAACACTTCGGAGAGTTGGTAAGTGACTTACTCCTTTTAGAAAAGCAAGAGGTAGCACGCTGGTTATGGAGGCACTCGGCCATGACCTTGAGAAAGTTACTTTCCTTTTCTGGTTTTTTCCTAATTCGTAACAGTCTGATACTGACTTACCTGTATCTTAAGGATGAAGGAGAAAAGGGCTATATGGACTATATTCAAGCTGAACACAGATCATGAAGACAGAGGCTAATAACCAGTAATAGCTGGTATTACTTAGCATGTGCCTACCCCTTGCTAAGTGCTTTATATACGTCATCTAATTCAGTCTTCACAACAACCCTGTGAGTAGGCACTGTTGTCAACCCATTTGACAGATGAGGAGACTATGGTCCCAAAAGGATAACAACCTCACCTGAGCTGAGAGAGCAAATAAATGGCAGAACCGGGACTTGAACCTGGGCAGTCTGGCATCAGAGCCCAGATGTGTAACTTTGACCTTGAGTTGTCTTTGTGTCGCATGTGGCAGCTAGCATTGCCACTGGCCCAAGTTAACACTCTAGGATATACTTCGGAGGAAACCATGGCTAGTTCTCCAGAGAAAGTATACTATAATTTATACCTGATACTGAGGGATTGTTCCATTTCATTATTGCTCACATAGCTTCTCCTCTCCTGCCATCTTTGCCCTACGAATATTAAAATGTTTCCATTACTCTTTGTGGTCCTGGGAGGGTGCTTTGGTAACTTCCTAACCTACATAAAGCATCGACTTAATCAACTTAGCATTGACTTCCTGGAAGGTCAAGAAGTTCTGGGTCCATATATTTGATAAGGAACCTTTTATTAGTCATGGAGGTCACTTACTCTGGTTTGCCTTAATCAAGAGCCCAGCGTGTTAGAGTGAAGGAAATTGTGACTCCTTCTCAGGCTTTCATCTCACACAAGGGCTAGTAAATTGGACTGGAATTTTTAAGGGAGTATTTTTGCCATCTTGAGCACATTTCTGTAATGAGACTAAGAAAGCATCTCCCCAGGTGACAAAACAGAAAGGACTATGTCTTATCCATCCGTGTTGCAGCCCTTGTTTGCAGAGGGAAGAAAGTAGGCAGAGAGGGCCCTTAATGCAATTCACGCAGACAAAGATGGCCTCACCCTTGGCATCCTTAGAGCTCTAGACGGCAGTGCTGATGAAAACCAGGAGGCCACAGACCTGTGGTGTCCAGGTGATCTGCCAACAGATTGTCTACATTCCACTGGCTCAGAGGGCCAACCTTAATTGAAAGTTCCTCTGCCTCCAGGTTCTAAAGGTGGCCATTAGCTTCAGGATTATTGCTAAACCCATTGTGGATTTCCTGTTATATTTAGGTAGCTGAATCATATTAAACTTGACAATGGTTTGTTTTTTCCTGGCAGAGCCTGCGCTTTCTCAGCACAATTTATGTAACAGCAATCTCATTAGAATTTTGTGTGATTCATTGCTTAAACCTTATAGTTTCTGCAATCTATTGCAATTCAAAACATCCTGCCCCCTGCCTGACCTGCTGCATATGCTGCTGCCTCTGCTTTCTGCTTGTTCATACTGAGTATGCCACATTAGCCCCGTTTTTCTTTTCTGCCCAGCATAGAACTTCAAAATGGGAAATTGACAAGTGTTACTTTTTAATTTCAGAGGTTTTAATTTTACACTGTCTTTGCAGTTGCTCTTTCCTCTCTGAGTTTTCTCTTTTCCTATTTAGGTATAATAGAGAGACATTATTCTCAACAGGCTTGAAAAATGAAGCTTGGGTAGTTTTACCTTCCACGGAGCCAGAAATGCCATTTTGGCAAACCCCATTGTCCACTGACATTGGGGAAAAGGCTGTTGTGGCAGCAGGATTAGTGCATGGGCAGAGGGGATTGGCTCTGCTGAAAACAAATGAGGGGAAGTAAGTACAAGTTAACGACCTAAAATAGAAATGACCTCCTTACAGAGGTGCGAGAAGAAAAGAGCCTTTCAGAGAGCTTAGCAGTGGAGCTGTTAGTATATGTACGACTCAAGTATCAGTTTTATTTAGAAAGGAGAGGAGGGTAATGGGGGAAACTAATGTGGGCCCTGCATTATATCATACAAATTCCACTGCAGAATCACACTGTTGTTAAAAAAAATCCCTGGAGAGCCACTACCCTGGTCTGGTAGAGAAATAGCCATTTACTAAGCTGGTGATGAAGAAGCCCAGAAGACAAACCGAGGTGGAGGGCACATGGAAGGCAGACAGAGACATAAAACAGTCCCCTGACCATTTAGAGAGCTGCAGTCTGCAACTTCTAGACGGCAGCACCTCTTCCTCACGTGGCCGACGCTGAACTTCAGCGTGGCACACCATCTGCCCAGTAATGGAATCCATCCTTTGGCCCCTGACACTGGTAAAGCTGCCAAGCACTGAGCAGGAGGGAACATTAGATGGGAAACTCTAGAAGAAGGGGGGAAAGGTTTTCCAAAGAATTTTAAGTGGTAGTGTTCTATTGTATTTTAAGTTACTATTTCCTGGAAGTTTAAAAATGCATTAAGAGATGCAGAGGATCAAGAGCTTTTAAAATGTGGGTTGTTTTCCTCCAGCAAGTATGCAGATGTGGCCTGTCTTTCTGCCCGTCAGGAAAGCAGCTGCCATCCCTGCCATGTGGCCCATCGTCAGCATGCCAGCAGATCAAGGCCTTGGCATCCTTGCAGAAGCTCTGCTCGGGGCTTCCTGCTGTCCCAAATGGTTTCCCCTGTCCTCGCATCCCTCCATGCTGGAGTCCTGGTGACCTCTGTGTCTGGGCAGGAAGTGATGGGGGAGGAGCATGGCCTATCACCTGTCTCAGATTATCCCAGGATCATTCCATCAGTGCATCCAGGAACCGACATTCCCGTCGTCACCACAGATACCCCCAGATATTCTGAAGTTCTTTGCAATCAAGCCAAGAAGTCCTGTGATAGGCGAAGTGTCATATATATTGGGTTGTCGGAAAAGTCATGACGGATTTTTGCAACGAAAAACATGGAAAAAATATGTCACGACTTTCCGACAACCCAATACAAAGCGCCTTAGGAGAGAGTGTGTGGGTCAGAAAATGCGCCCCTCTTGTCCTCTGTACCTCACAACAGTCCTCCTTTTCCACTTGGCAGGAGATCCAGGCTACCTGGTACGAGAAACTGCACGAGTGGGAGGACGCCCTTGTAGCCTATGATAAGAAAATGGACACCAACAAGGATGACCCAGAGCTGATGCTGGGCCGCATGCGCTGCCTCGAGGCCTTGGGGGAATGGTGAGCTGCGTCTGGACGATGGCGGCTAGAGATGTCATCTCTTTGATCTTTGGGTTTGAAAGGCTCCCCCAAACAGAGTTCTCATCCAAGGCTTTCATTTTTGTTTCACTTGGTATTTTCCCAGGAATCATCTATCACTTTGGTGTTTTTCCCTCTCTGTTCTTTCTCAGTGCTACATAGAAAGGCTCTTTTCAAAAACAAAACAAAACACAAACTTAAACTTTATAATGCTCTAGGACAGGATAGGCTTGGGTGTGCTCCTGGGATCTGCACCTACTCTTTCCGTCTGCCTCTTGACCTTGACTGACTGATGAAGACCTCCTATCCTTTTCATTAGCGCTTGCTAATGAGTTTAGGAAAGAAAAACTCAGGTGCCCTCTTCAGGTGCTTCACCTTATTGGATGCTTGCTATGTGCCCAGCATCCCACCAGGCTCCCGGGGTAAAAAAATACAGAGAACAAGAACTCCATTGTGAGGTTGATGAGACGAGCACATAACAGTTAGTTATTAAAGCCTGAGAGAACAGTGACAATGGAATGAGCACATGGCTTTGGGAGACCACAGGGGGAGGGGACGATCGAGTAGTTCTCCCAGGAGGAAGGACTAAGACTGGAAGACAGGTGAAGGAGAGTGGGGAGAAGGAAAAGGGTACTCCAGGTAGAAGCAGCAGGAATGCTTAATTGAGAGCACTTGCCTATGTCTGGATTTGGGGAGTTTGTGGCGGGGTGTTGGAAGAAAAATGGTGTCCATTCAGTTTTCCAGTATCGAGTGCAGTTTTTTTTAAACAGTTAAAACAAGATGCCATCCCACCGTCGTTAAATAGTTTAACTACAGGGCCGACTGAGTGACTCAGTTGGTTAAGAGTTGGCTTAAGAGCGCAAGTTCTGAGCAACAGGGTTGCCTGTTCGATTCCCACATGGGCCAGTGACGCTGCGCTCGAGCTGAGCTGCCACTGAGCTGCCAGCGGGTGTCAGGATGGCTCAGCTGGTGTAACAACAAGATTGCCTGTTCGATGGTGGGCTACGCCCACCCACAACTAAGACTGAACTCTGCACCTTGAGCTGAACTGCTGCCTGAATGGCTCAGTAGATAGAGCGTGCGCCTTAACAATAAGGCTGCTGGCTCGACTCCCGCATGGGATGGTGGCTACGCCCACCCGCAACTAAGATTGAACACAGCACCTTGAGCTTAGAGGCCATGAGCTGCTGACGGAAAGCCAGATGGCGACTGGTGCCCTCCACAACAAAGATTGAAGAACAACAACTTGGTTGGTCCTCCTCCCCAATTCCCCAACACTGTTCCCCTCCCCCAACTCCCCAACAAAAATCTTTAAAAATAAAATAAATAAATAGTTTATTTATTTTTAATAGTTTTAAGTAGTTAAAATGCCATACAGAGTCCCCAAGAACAGATGATCCAACCGACTGTGGGACATGGAACGGTCCCCCATTCATTCACCCAGTAATTATTGAGCGCTTATTCATTGCCAGTGTCTGTGCCAGGCCCCCAGGACACAGCCATGAAAACGGACATGACCCCTGCCTTCCCCGAGCTTACAGAGCAGACAACCGGGCTGTTGTCCTACAGAGTGAATACAGCTCCAAAGGGAAACAAGGGCCCTAATCCAGGCATGAAGGTTCTGGAAGGCTTCCAGCAGGGAGTGATATCTCACATGGACCTATACAGTGAGGAGGAGCGAACACAGTATGTTCAGGGTTCTGAAATGGCTAGACGGTCAGTCAGGTGTGATGTGGAAAGAGGTAAAAGGTGGAGCGGAGGCCACAGCATGTGTGACTTACAGACCGAGTTAGGAGTCTGGACTTTAACCTAAGGGCTACTGGGCAGCCATCCAAGTATTTGGAAGGCCATGCTAGATGGTTTTAGATTACAAAAAGAACCCTTTAGGAGCAAATTGGAGAGTGGATTGAAGAGGCCAGAGAAGAGATGGCAAGACCGGTTCAGGGGCCATCCAATGGGAAAGATGACGGATGGTAGCAAAGAGGGACGGCCGTGGGGCTGGAGGAGGGCCTGGATCCAGAGATGTTCAGGAGGCAGCACTGACAGGATTTGGAGACTTACGAGATGTGGAAGTGAAGAGGGGCGTGAAATTACAGTTTGAGCTTCCAGAATGAAGATGAGGCTGGAACCCCCGGAGCTCCTCAGTGGCCTGATCAACCCAAAGCCTAAGGGTCCCCTGAACCAGGCCTCCGAGGAGCCATATCGGGGAGGTAGAGTTCCACAGGCCCGTGCTCGTGCATTTGGATCTGCAGGTGGAACCTCTATCCCTGGAGACTTTCTTTTAACTACATTCTTTATTCATTTTTTATTTTTAAAGCATTATTTTTTTAAAAAGCAATATGCACATAGCACAGTAGTACAAACAGTGACAGGACTGTGAGAACCAGTCTTCTTCCTGCCCCCCCAGCCACTGAGACTTCCCGGCAGGCGCGCTTCTGCGTTAGGATGCTGTGTCCTGTACACACTGCATCGCACCTGGTTCCTTTCATTTAACAAGTCTAGGCCACTGTTCCATGCCAGTACCTACAGGTGCTGCCTCATGTTTTTAAATACTGCATGACATCCCATCATATCAATAACCTCAGTCTCTTTAATCTAGGCAAAGTTTGATTTGTTTAAAATATTTATACCTTGGAAAGTTTAAAGAATAATATTGAAAAATCAAAGTAAGGCTTCTAAAAAGAACAATCTCTTATTACTCATATTCTTTCTGTACCTAATGACAGATATTCTTTTGGTAAATGATTACTATTTTTATTTCTTTTTTTCTTTTTTCTTTTTTTTTTAAGATTTTTATTGGGGAATTGGGGGATGAGAATAGCGCTGGGGAATTGGGGGAAGGGAAACAGACAAGTTGCTGTCCTTTTTGTTCTTCAGTCTAGTTGTGGAGGACGTTGCTTCACTAGCCCAAGTTGGCACCATCGTTGCGCTCTTCCCCGGTGAGGCAGATCAGTCGCCGGCTTCTGGACGGCCACTCACTGTGGCTGCTGGCCGCTCACGCTGGCTGCTGGCTACATACGGTCGTCCATGGCAACCCACTGCAACAGTGGCTGCAGCCTGCGCCATCAGCGGCGACTCACGGCAGCCCAGCTCCAGGTTGAGCTGTTGTTCAGCATCTTAGCTGCAGTGGGCAGTATCACTGGCCCTTATATGTGGGATCCAAACCGGGGCTCTCTGGCATCCCAAGCCAGCTCTTAACCATCGCGCCACTCGGCCGGCCCACTATTTTTATTTCTTAATATAAAGTTATATTTGCAAAATAAAAGATGTAATATATTGCATGAAAATTTAGTGTTAATGAATTTAGCCTTAGGCATTGATTAGATCATACAGAAGGTGCCAAAAAAATGTATACACATTTTAAGAAAAGCGAAAACTATTAAAATTTTAATACTCAATATATACCGATAATAAAAGATGAATACAAGTCATGTTTGACTTCTGCAATTACAAGAGGCACTCAAAGTGGTTACCGTCAGCGTCCAGACACTTCTGATTACGGTGAACTACTGCTTGAACAACGTTGACCAAAGTGTCCACTTGTATACATGATTTTGGCACCCTCTATATATGTACATATACAGATAATAGTCTAAAGTTATTTGAAATTGGTTTGTCTGACTTAGCCATTGTTAGGGAGATTCAAGTGTTATTATTTATTTCTGTAATTAGCATTCTATATTCATTTACCTCACTAAATCAAGGAAGCATATCCTATCAAATCTGCTTTATTAGCTTGTGCAACTAAAGCTGGGGTTTTTTTATGTCCAGCAGTTTTATTTAAACTGAACTCTCCAATATGGTGGCCACTAGCCAGATGTGACTTTTTTAATTAAATAAAATTAATAATCTAGTCACACCAGCCACATTTCAAGTGCTCAGTAGCCAGCGTGGCCAGTGGCTGCCCTACTGAACAGTGCAGATATAAGACACTTCCATCACTGTAGACTCTTCTGTTGGACGGCACTGATCTAAAACAAAAGTATGTTAATGAGAATTAGCCACATTATTTCAAACACAATTTTTTTTAACTTTCAAATTGGTTGTCATACAACCATATGTTATTAAGAGGAATGTTAAAAAACATAATGTAAACATTCTTAAAATTCAGCTCAAGTCCTAAAATGACTTAGACTACCCCAGTTGCCCCTGGATTTGCATATGACTGTCACAGCTGGCATCACAGTCTTACATGTTGTGACTGCAGCCCACTTCTTCAGCCTATTTCTCAGTGTCCTCTGCCTCATAATCTGAGCTCCGGCCAAACTCTTCACTCTTCTCCAAACCCCACACAATTTTTTTTTTCTCTGTACTCATTCACTCAGCTTCCTGAATTGCCCACCCCCTCTTCTCCTTTTTCTAGTTTTTGAAATCCTCCCCATCTTTCAAGGGCCACCTGAACTGTCTCTTCCTCCCTTGAAACCTTTCCTGGTTCCTTCCCCTCCCTACCTTTTCTAAATTAAAGACAACCACTTCCCTTAGGTAGGCAGGTTAGGTAGGGACAGCTTGGCTATATTAGAGGAGACTTTAGATGCAATTTTGTCTGGTCCCCTTATGTGACAGTTGGGAAACTGAGGCTCATAGAAGTTGACACAGCCGGGCTGAGGTCTCCCAAGAGCGGAGTGATCCAGGTCTCCTGACGTTGCAGTACTTGGTCGCACGTACTTCTGATCTCCTGGATTCATTCCAGTTTTATAATTACCTATAAAGTATAAGTGGCCAGTGATGCTGACCAAGGGATTTAAGAATGCAGCAGGCTAAAAGGGATGAAAGAAGCAGAATTCTTTTCCTGATTATGGGCAGGCTTCTTACATGGTTTATTCAGTCAATTCTGTTTAGAGTGCAATTTCTAAATTGCTTTTGCTTTGAGTGTATATCCTGAACGTGCCCGAGGCAGCCGTTGACCAGAGGTGGCAACAAGAATGATCTGGGGCTACCACTAAGCTAAGACCTTCCCCTCCCCCATGCTTATCTGCCTCCAGGAAGCTAACTACAGGAGTCAGCCCCCAGCCCCACATACTGCCAAGGGGAACCTAGGTAAACCCCTGCCCACACTGTTCCTTAAATGGCCTCTGGGTCCTTGAGAACAGACTCTTTGAGAGTCAGCCAACCACTTAGGTGCCCCAAATGAAAGAACGCTTTCTAAGCTTTTGCTGCTGCGCCAGGTGGGAAAGTCAGGGTCCTGGGATGGGCCTTGTACCTAGCACTCCCCGCTGTGCAGTGAGGGGCGTCTGAAACCCATCCTAGTGCTGGCCCCACAGACATCTCATTTTTTATTTGATCTGGTTCACCCCTCACTGCCTTTGAGAATTAGAACTCAGTATATTCTGCATTCTTATTTGTAACAAATGTGTGTGGGAGAGGAACCCCACCTGGTGCTGACAGCTGTTGACACAGCCACAGCTTAAAGGCGGTGCCTGTGTCCACCATCCGTTGGGGCAGCCTTTCCGGATGCTGTTCCTGCTCTGCTGCCTGCTTTGTCTCTTGAGGGAACAGTTTGGGCTGTTTTCCTATTGAACTTGCTCCCTGCTTCTGAATGAAAAGCAAAGCTAAATCCTTAGACCCATAGCACCGAAAGGGGTGGTCCTGACGAGACTAGAGGGATGCTGAATTACTTGTTGCCATGAGCTGTAAAAAAATTGAATTCTAGGGTTGGAAGGACCTTTCAGAGCTCATGTAGCTTTCTTTCCTGCCTCTAGGCAGGACCCAACAAAGATATGCTGCCCAGAGGAGCTATTCCTGTGCTCTGAGCCAGCGGTTCTCAAACTGTGGCCCCTCGACCACAGCATCAGCATCTCCTAGAAGCTTGTCAGAAATGTACATTCCCAGGCCCCCATGCAGACCTCCTGAATCAGAAACTCGGGACGTGGCACCTAGCAGTCCAGATGAAGGAGCCCTCCAGTGGATTCCGATACACAGAACAATTTAAGAACCACTGCTCTAAGATAACCCCAGCGGGACCCATCAGTGAAGGCTTCTGGGTTTGGAAGGCAGGAAACCAACACTGAAGTTCGTCCTACTTCTATCACGGAGCTTCAGTGCGTGTACAGGGCAGGGTGGCTGCCCAGCTACTCTTCCTCTTGGACCGTGGCTGTGCATTGAGTTGCAGTGATCATGTCCCTGGCTCGCTCGGTCATGTGCCAGAAGTTAATGACTGCTGTGCTTCTGGATAATGGGCCTGAGCAGTTCTAGACGTGGTCACCAGTCAGCTTCTCAGTGAGCTCAGCCTAGAGCCCTTCAGCACCGATTGACTTCAGCATCTTTATCTCTACCCCTACCCCCCATGTCACCTTATAGCGTAGTGCAACTCGTGCCCCACGAGGCTTCTGAGCTGGGTCACTTGGAACTTGTACCTTTTCTCTCGACTCTGCCCCCAATACCAAGTTCAAACACACTGCAGCATCTTTTTCAGAAGGCAGGGAAGATTGAGGAGTGTCCTAGCTGAGCTTTTGAAGCTCACATGGAAGCAAGGCTCATATTTGCGCAGGAGCGGAGTTTTATTTCCTCTCTTTCAGAAGTGGAACATGGGAGGGCAGCTGTTCTGTCAATGGGACGTCTCTATTCTTGAGAGGGCTTCCGCTCCCTGTGAGCACTGGAGTCTGTTGAATATCATTCATAATCTCGGTATCTCATAGTCCTTACCCACACTCATGGTAATTGTGCAGAAAGCAGCATCTGGGTTTCTGGTAGATGTGCCTATTTTAGATTGAGTCCTTCTTCTTTCTGTGCAGATAGATTTCATTTGCGTTTCATTTCAGCCTGCAACCATTTGGATAATTCTTTTGAGAGTCAGTTCTTCCTATAGCTCTGAGCCCAAAATGAATGTCCAGCTGTGTCTCTTCAGATTGCTTTCTCTGTAGATCTGCCAAAGGGAAAGAGCTGAGTTTATTGGCATATGAGAGAAGTTATTTAATATTTATGAAGGGGGCCAGATGTTCAGGACATTTCACATCACGTAGAGCTGGACGTGGTCCCTATCTTTGATAAACTCATTCTCAGACAAATTACGAGTACCAGGCTATAGGAACACCAAATTGCTGATCACTTCTCTAGTAGGTGGCCCAGTTGAAAGTGCTTTTTATTTAAAGGCTCCTAGATCAAGGCAGGCCTCTATCATCCAGTTCCTCGGTGGCCCCCAGCTAACCCAAGGGGCCAAAGAGTGGCAGGTTAGAGAGGTGATTTCAATTCACCCAAATATATCATTCTTTTCCTGCAGGGGGCAGCTCCATCAGCAGTGCTGTGAAAAGTGGACCCTGGTTAACGATGAGACCCAAGCCAAGATGGCCCGAATGGCTGCTGCAGCTGCATGGGGGTTAGGTAAGGCTTTCCTCACAGGTACCTTAGTCAAGGCAGGGAAAGTAAGGCTAGGTACTCATATCTGAAAAGTAAGGCACTAAGGCTGCAAGTAGAGATATCAGGTCTATAGCAGTGTAAAATAGTCTGTATTCACTTCTGTTGCTCCCATCTGTCTCTGCCTGATGATTTTGACTAACTTGTTAGATATGGGTAAAAATGGCTCTTCACAGGGAAGCCAAGGAAAACAGTGAATAAGCATCAAAAATAAGATATTTAGTGAAGTTTGTTTGTTTTGGTGTTTTTGTCTTAAACAAGTTACTGGTTTATATTTCTTTCTTATAAATGAAATCGAGAGGTAGGCATTCCCAGACTAGTGTTCTGGCTCCGTTGTCATTAGCCTTTTCCCATATGTCTGCTTTGCATAGGACCTCCGTTTTCAAGTCTACCTCATGATCCAATATGATTGCTGGAGCTCCATCCATCATGTCTTTATCCCAAGCAGGAATAAAGAGAGAAGACAGCTATCTCCTTTTCTTTTCTAACTTTTACTATAGAACTTTCCCAACATATATAAGAGTGAAGAAAATGGTATAATTAACCCCCATATGCCTTTCACTGTCTCCAACAATTACAAACGTTTTGACAACTTTGTTTTCTGTATTCTCCTGCTTGCTGCCCAACACTTGCCCACCTTACTCCCATCCCCTGAGTATTTTAAAGTAGAGATTTCCTTTTCATCCCTACCGACAGTGTGGATTTCTGACACCGGTCCCTAGCCGAGAGGATTACCAATGTCTGTTCCAGAGACGCTCTTAATAAGAGGTTAAGGGTCCATAGGATGTCCCAGGAGAACAGCTTCCCCATCAAGCCCAGAGGAAGGTTACAGAACCTTCGATCTCCGTTCTATTCCTCCTGAATCACAGAGCTTATATCCTTTGCTTTCATGAGCCCTGGGCTGGATCCAGAACATTTTTCAAAAATAAATTGCTTCCTGAGGAGTCATTGTTTGCTATTTTGCTCCTGCCCAGAGGCATAGAGAATGGATGAGCCACTGGTCTGGAGTGGAAGGCAGGAAAATGCCTTGTAAAAGCAGCAGCCCTACAGTTTAGCTAATGAAGCTGATAGCTGCAGACCATTTTGGAAATCCTGGCATTCTATGCACGTGCATCTCACCGGGGGAAACTGTTCCCAGCTGCATTCCTGGATGCAGCCGTCTTCCTAGTCTGCCATGACACACAGACTGCCGTGCTGTGACCTAGCCCATCTTTCTGTTACAACAGAGTCTCTTGAAATATTTATCTCTTCCCTTCTGAGGCAAAGGTACTGCCAGAGTGAGAAGGGCAAACTATCTGTCTAACCCTGTCCTCTGTCCGGATAATGGCCATTTTCAGCTCTTAAGGGGAAAATGTGATTTCCAATGTACCATTGAACTGTGAGATGCTTGCTCGTAGGGAAGAAAGCTATTCCATCTCACCTAGAGAAACCTGAGAGAGTTCTCTAGGTTAACGAGGTGCTGCATTAAACGCTCTTGACATGTGGGCTTTGCACTCGTGCTGTTTCTCCCATCCTTTGTGGAGCTCCCCGGAGCAGCAATGGCGTCCTGTGTTTGGAAGACAGATATGGCTTTGTTAAATTAGCTTGCTCAACCCCTCAGAGTGTCTCTGCAAGATTTTGATACATCAGGCTCAAGTTTGTCTGGTTTGAACCCCCAGCTAAATGCAAATAGCAGTGACTCCTATTGAGATGCCACCTTTAGCCCAGCAAGTTGACCACCCTAATGCTTTTCTGTGTGTGTGTCTGTCTGTCTGTCTGTCTGCCTGCCTGCCTGTCTGTCTGTAGGTCAGTGGGACAGCATGGAAGAGTACACCTGTATGATCCCTCGGGATACTCATGATGGGGCATTTTATAGAGCTGTGCTGGCATTACATCAGGACCTCTTCTCCCTGGCACAACAGGTAAAACCCTACATGCACCCAGACCATCTAGCAAAGAGAAGGTGATGACACATGGCCTGTCAGTTCCTAGGCATGTGGCGTCTGTGTAAATAGGCTGCTGTACTTCAGCTCTGGTGTTTGGCTCGGTGAGCTCATTAGAATGGCTCTGGAGCATAACATTCAGTAAGAAGACTGCCAGCACTTTAACTGGGGCCACATTCTGCTCTGAGAGGGACAGATGTGTTCTGGAAGTTACCGTTTAGATTGCGTTTGGAGTTAGCCTCCTGGGTCATCATGGCACTCTTTTTACCAGCTTGCCTAGCGTTCTTTGTAGTACAGAGAAACTGTCCACCTCTCCAAGGGAGGATTCGGACAGCAGCCATTCACCTCTGCAGCAGGTCAATCACAGGCTTCTTCCGGCTGTGCAGGTGTGTCACACATTGGTGACCTTCTAGGAGCGTCAGCGCATTATTTGAAAACCCTGTGCTGACTTGCAGAATAAAATAATGAAGTAATCACATCCACCCTGTCGGACGCCAGGTTGTCGTGGGTGAGGTGCTTGGGTAAATGGCCTGAATGCTTACAGGATGGGGACACAGTAATTAACCTTAAACATTCAGACAAGGAAAAGCTCCGCACGAAGGGCTTTTAATTGATGACACAGAAGACTCAAACTGTAGTCCTGCAGCCACCGCCAGGATTCTGATTTACATGACGAGAACTGAGACCTGGGCCATCCATGTCACCAGCCCAAAGACTCCTGTCTACATGGAGAGGTTTGGGCGTCTCTCTGCCAGTCTCAGAGGCACTCTCTCAGGAGGACAAGGGGCTTCTAAGCTAGAGATGACCACCTGGAGCCATCTGAGTGTTTGCACAGTCCATTTTCACAAACCTGCCCAGCAAGGGAAAGTGGAAAGCAGGCCGACCCCCAGATGGTCTCCTTGTGTTCTGAGAGTCAAGGACACAGTGACTCTCAGCACACATTTCCCCTTTCCTTTTACTCAAGACTTGGGGTGTTATCATAGATGTTAAGTTTTGTTTTTGTTTTTAGTATTTCATTGGGGAATTGGGGAAGGGGAACAGCAAAGTTGTTATCCTTCAGTCTTAGTTGTGGAGGGCGCAGCTAGCTCAGCTCCAAGTCCAGTCGCCATCTGGCCACCCATTGGCAGCTTGCAGCCGCTCAGCTCAAGGTGCCGTGTTCAATCTTAGTTGCGGGTAGGCATAGCCCATCATCCCGTGCGGGAGTTGAACTGGCAACCTTGTTGCACACTGAGCTATCCGGCCGTGGCTTGCGGCCGCTCAGCTCAAGGTGCCGTGTTCAATCTTAGTTGCGGGTAGGCATAGCCCATCATCCCGTGCGGGAGTTGAACCAGAAACCTTATTGTTAGGAGCATGTGCTCTCACCGGCTGAGCCATCCTGCCACCTGTTAGCAGCTCAGCGGCAGCTCAGCTCGGGTGCAGCTCACTGGCCCATGTAGGAATCGAACTGGCTCGTACTGTTAACCAACTGAGCCACTTGGCCAGCCCAGACGTTAAGCTTTTGGCTGCCACACATTTCTGTCTTTTCTGAGAAATCAGATAGTACTCTTCTTTAGCCATTCAGGTCTTAGGAAGAGGTTTCTTCCCTTGGGTGAATTTTTCTCTTAATCACTGGAATTTAAGTGAGTTATATAACTTGTGAAGCTCATTGGGAGGCCTGAAAAGAGCAGCACTACCCTCAGCTCCCAAGTCCACAGCTCAAGTGCAGGGGTTCCATTTTTCTCTCCTAGTGCATTGACAAAGCCAGGGACCTGCTGGATGCAGAGCTAACGGCCATGGCAGGAGAGAGCTACAGCCGGGCATATGGGGTGAGTGTTGAATATTCTGCATGTTATCATTTTAGAGGCTCATTTCAGTTCTTTTTTCAGAGTGGGCTGCTGAGGACGCTCAGGCTGCTGACCTCATACCTGTGTGTTCTCAGCAGACACCCTGCCACCAGGAGGAATGATTGAAATAAACCCTGGCTTTTGGATTGTTCCTGCAGTATTAAGTTGGAATGTGATTTGCTTCCATCAGGCCATGGTTTCTTGCCATATGCTCTCCGAGCTGGAGGAGGTCATCCAGTACAAACTTGTCCCCGAGCGACGAGAGATCATCCGCCAGATCTGGTGGGAGAGACTGCAGGTGAGCCTGGTAGAAAGCCTCAGGTAGCCTGCCCTCCTCTCTCTCCCGCTTTTGCTCAGCATCTGCTTTCTGCTGCCCCAGAGGCTGGTTTGCAGTCAGAGGAAAACATCTCACAGCCTTTGGCTGTGAGAGGGTGACCGATTTTCCAGCCTCCTTTTACCCTTCTCTAGGAATAAAAGAAAATGTCTTTAATAAGTGACACTTATGGCTAGGCAGTTGAGAATCTTAACCTCAGAATCAGTGGTTTTCCACTTCAGCTACACAATAAAATGACCTGGAGAGCTTTTAAGAATCCAGATACCCAGGCTGCTTCCCAGCCCAAATAAATCAGAATTTCTGGGGATAGACCCAGGATCAGTATCTTTTTAGCCTCCCTAGATGATTTCAGTCTGCGGCCAACACTGAGAACTACGGCTCGAAATCCACTCGCTGGCCACCTACATCCAGCTCTTTGAATGGGGTCGCCTGATATTCTCATTGACCAACGCCTGCCATTTACGTTCCTCAGGTCATGGTCATCCCATGATCTCTGTTCAGACTTTTTTGCACTGAAGTCTCGCCTCAGAGAAACTTTTCCAAGTCCTCATCAGTGTTTTCATTGTACATTCTGATCATTTTAGCATGGGGGACTATCAATTCCAGATCTGGGAGTCAGCAGTCTTAAGTGTTCTTGGAAAGGAAGCTTTCCCATCCCTTGAGGCAGTAGGAGGGGAAGTTCATCGGCAAAAGAGAGAAAGCCCTCACGCTCCAGAAGCCGCTTGTCCCCCTGCTTGTCATAATCAGCCTCCTCAATTTTAAACCGTTTCCTCTTGGCCCAATCCACACCTAACTCCAAATTCTGCCTTTAGACCAGTCAGGGTTTGCACTTCCAAGCTCCTCAGCAGGCTGTGACAAAGCCTTTTGACTCCAGGCTGCATTCCTGTCTCAGCAGCTCAGGGCACATTCCACTGGACAGGAACGCGCAGCAGGCAGAGGCTCGTCTGTGAATATAGTAGTCGTTTGTGCTCTGCAGAGCACATGCAGTTCCTTCGCATGTTTTATTAGCAATGCTGAAATGCCCAGTGAGTGTTTTGATGGAAAATTGTCTATTGGACACCAGAAAAGAGTTCCACAAAGCAAGCATTTCCCACTTGATTCGTACACACCCCGGGTTTTTAAGTGCCTGTAATGGGGTAAAGAGTTTCCAAAGCAGTGATCTGATTAACCTTCCGCCATTCCAACAAGAGGGGCTTTATCCAAATAGCACCTTGAAAGGGGGTGGATTAAGTGAGTCTTGGGAGGGGAGACCCCTGTCTGACTTGACTGTGCCCAAGATACTGTCATCATCTTAGCCTTCACGACTTTCCTATCTCGAGACAGTAGGGTGCCTTTTGGCTGACAGGGGCCTAGATTATTTCAGCATCTGGGAGAAACTAGCAGATGGTAAGAAGTCACCAAAACAATCACTCAGTGTACTTTTTTCTGTTTTTCTAACTTTCCAAATCACTGTTGTCACACGTAATGGGATGGAAAGATACGGTCCAAGGCCTCAAAATAAAGCATTAAGTTTGTGGTAGAAATTTGGCTCTCGTGGATGGCTTGCTGTCAAAAGACTCAACAAACTGCCTAGGCTGAAAGACTGCCATTTTGTGGACAAGTCATCTAAGTTGAAATCCCCAGCCAGTGTCTCCCGTGGGGGCAGTTTGAGAGGTCAGCCTTACTGGCACTGGGTCTCTTCTTGCCTTGGGTTTTTTATTCAGGCTCGGACTGCATCCTGTCACATTGAAAAGCCTACAACCATTGCAGCTAGACTTTAGACTTATCTCCATGGAGGACAGCTCGTTGGGTTTCACAGAATTCACCCATGAAGTGGTAGCTTTCAGAAACCCACTTCCCCTGGCGATTTGTCTCTTGAGTCTGACTTCTTATCAGCAGAGGTAGAGAGGCTTACTTTACTCTCAGTGATGTAAAATTAGCTTATCCCCTTTGCTAACAATTAATTCACCCTGTTTTTTAATAAAAAAGAATTTATTGGTGTGACTGAATGAGACACCTCCCCTTCTATATGCAGTTTTTGATCTGAGACAAATAAAAATGAAGAGGAAAGAATCTAAGCAAGGCCAGAAGTCTTAGTGCAGGTCTAGCTTTAATAACTTCAGAAATATAAAACGCCACCAACTTACAAACATTTGAAAATTTAATTATTTAAATTTCTCTTACGCTTAATTAGTTTTTTGAATTTTGAATGATACATTTAATTTCTTTATCTGTGATAGTCATCGTCAACCAGAGAGACTGAAGCAAAAAATAAAGTTAAAAATGCATTATTTATAATCCAGAAAAGGAAATATAAATAATTTAATTCATTTAACCCTCATCAGAGCCCTATGAAGTTGGTACTGTTTTTATCCCATTTTACAGATCAGAGAATTAAGTAACTTGTCCAAAGTCACGTAGTAAGTGGCAGGGCCAGGATTCAAGTTTCAGAATCTATATTCTACTGCTTCTCCAATTTGGAGGAACCCCTGAGGCATTTCATTCACAGTGCCTTTCACTTGGGAAAGCTGAGATTATAAAAATGAATCTTTTTGTTGCAGGGTGGGTCTTGCTGTTGCTTGTGGGGGGTTAAGATATAGCAGAGGACATAACTAACCCTCAACTTCTGAATGTTCCAGGGCTGCCAGCGCATCGTGGAGGACTGGCAGAAAATCCTCATGGTGCGGTCCCTTGTGGTCAGCCCCCACGAGGACATGAGGACCTGGCTCAAGTATGCAAGTCTGTGTGGCAAGAGCGGCAGGCTGGTGAGTAACCCCCACCACACCGGGCCAGGGGGGCTGAGGAGGGAACGGCGCTCCTGGGCCGGTTCTGTTTACACCCCGAGCTCTCTTGTTTTTAAGGCTCTTGCTCATAAAACCTTAGTGTTGCTCCTGGGAGTCGATCCGTCTCGGCAGCTTGACCATCCTCTGCCAACAGTTCACCCTCAAGTGACCTACGCCTACATGAAAAACATGTGGAAGAGTGCTCGCAAGGTCTGTATCTGAAGCCACTCAACGGTAGAGCAGGCCTCCCCAGCATGCTCACCTACTCTGCTTCCCGCTGCCTCGGGGCCCGAAAAGATACGGCGTCCAAACCACCGGGTCAGGGAGTTTGCTGCTGCTAGGAGCTATTTGGCCGGATTTCAAAAAGTGAATCATAGTCAAGGAGGTGCATGTATAGCGCTGATCAAACCAATGAGCGTAATCACAGTTGTATTTATTAGCAGCCAGAATGTGCTGGAACATAGAAAAAGCACAATTTCTGCCCGCTCGGAGAAAGATGGGCTGGTAGGTACCCAAAAAACCAGCATATTTGTGAAAACACCGACTGGAACTTTCACAAGACCAATTTGGTTTTTCAGACTTCTCGTCTCCTTTCCTATCATCAATTTGGGATTCCAAAGCAACAACACCCAGAATATAATGCTGAAACCAGTAGGGAAAGTCATCTTGAAGCCAGTGTAGAATTCCTCTTACTTTATTTACAGACAGGTCCTTGGGAAATAGATGTGGCTCCTGGTGGGGAAGTGGGGAGGGGAGGGGGGGGCCAGGTTGTTTTTATTTTTTTAAACAGTCTTCCAGGATGATGGTTGATGACTAACAAAAAGTCAGCCCTGGAGGCAAAATCAGCCCCCTGCTCTGTGTCCCCCATCCTCCTCCTTACCAAATAGTGGAGGGCGTCCGGGCTGTCTTCTCCATGTTGTCCCCACAGCAGTGCCTGAGATGAGAAAGAAATGCAAAGGAGCCACCAGAGCCTTGGCTGTGGAAAGAGCAGTTGTGTCTGCTGGAGGCACACCTGGGAGATTCTTGCACTGTGGGGCTTGACTGACTGACTGCTGCCCAGAGCACGGCACCCAGGCTCTGAGCCTGTGGGGCTTACTGCAGTAGTCATGGTCCATGTTTCCTTCTCCAAATGTACAGTTTGGGGGTGTTGTTTTTTCTTGTTGTCTTTTAAGGGTTTGTTCTGGTGTGTGTGTTTTTTAGTCTCTGTAAGCCTCCCAAGCTAGGGCAATTCTGATTCAAAGCCTGACCTTCCTCCAGGCAAATGGCAAAAACAGAGGTGCTGGATCCGAACACGTGGTTTCCTTCCTATGTATAGCCTCCAAGTCTTTGAATGTCTTGCCGAAGGCAGGCAGAAGGCGCCTTTTGGCTAATACCTCAAACAAGGCCTGGCATCTTTCAACAGATGACCACAGCTCAACTGCTCCACAGATCATGGCCTTTTCTTAGGAGCCCAGATTCTGGTGGGAGACCGTAAAACCACATGAACATGGTTTAGAAACCTGTTTAAAGTTAGGTGCTTGAACTTCAAGCCCAGAGCTAGAGCTGTCACGTCTTTGGAAGAGTTCAGGAGTGACCCAAAAAAAAAAACTGAGTACTTAATAATAAGTGTGCAATTGAACAAGTCACTGGCAACAAGGATTGTATTCTCTGCCTTGCCTGAGGCAGATGAAAGTGTTTGGGGAAGTGCAGACCGTGTTCTACAGGAAGGCATCAGGCATCGGCTGTACGCGCAGGGTTTTCCTAGGTCAGAGGCTTCACAGAGTTTAGAGGCAGGCCTGTCCTTCCGTGAAATTTCACTCAGCTGAGAACGTGAAACAGCCAGGCAGTCAAGCAGCAGGAATACTATGCCCAGCTTAAACTCTGGACCTGGGAGAAGGCGGCCCTTCCTCTGAGTGACCAGTCCTGCCTTTGTACGAAAAAAGAATCATTTTTCCCCCTCCTCACTTCCTGGGGATGTAGAAAAGGCGGCTTTTTTATTTTTTAAGATTTTATAGGGGAATTGGGGGAGGGGAACAGCCAAGTTGTTGTTCTTCAGTCTTAGTTGTGGAGGGCGCCAGTTACCATCCCATGTGGGAGTCGAACCGGCAGCCTTGTTGTTAAGAGCGCACGCTCTATTCCCTGAGCCACCCGGGCAGCAGCTCAGCTCAAGGTGCCAAGTTTAGTTTTAGTTGCGGGTGGGCATAGCCCACCATCGAACAGGCAATCTTGTTGTTACACCAGCTGAGCCATCCTGACACCCGCTGGCAGCTCAGCAGCAGCTCAGCTCAGGCGCAGCGTCACTGGCCCATGTGGGAATCGAACCAGCAGCCCTGTTGCTCAGAGCTCGCACTCTTGGGCAAGCTCTAAACCAACTGAGCCACTCGGCCAGCCTGAAAAGAAGGCATTTTTTTTAGAACATTTTCAATGCCTTGAAAATAATTTGCCTCTGTGTCACAGAGAAGAGAGCTCTTAGATTCTCCCATGCTGGATAAACTCACTAAACTTAACATCGGGCTTCAAATCCAAACTAATACCCAGACTTCCCAATTTGGGCAATTTATTTTTTGTTCGGTGCCTTGGTGAGTCTCCGAAAAGAATTTAACTCTATGACTGGACTGTTGGTAACACAGCTCATGGGCTCTGAAAGCATCTGGCATCAGAGTTCCCGAGTTACTTATTACCTGCTTGATGTGCACAGTCATCGCGTGCGTTATCGATCACCTTCTCAGTGGCTGATCTTTTTAGCACTGCCCCTCAATTCTTTTTTTTTTTTTAATCAGATTTAAGTCTTGTCAGTATAATTCTTACAGAAGAAAAACTACAGGAGCATTTGTCGCTTCCCAGGTGTGGGATGCTAAGTAGTTCATTTTTCACAGCCAGTGGTGAGTCATTGGACTCTGAAGGCAGGTGTCTGAGGGAGACAGGTGTCTTAACTGTTGGAACATCCGTGTGTCTGCCCTGTCCTCATGCTTGGATTAGCTGCCTGATAAATTGTTTTTCATGTCATTCTGGCTCTGGGTTAAGCACTAACTCTTCCTTACGTAGAAAAGTATCTGAGATTGGTCCTGGACCCCCAAGCCAGGGTGTTTCATTTTCCTTCAAGGCCGTCATACTGACATGTTTCTCTTTAAAAAAAAACAAACTTATGTAATTTACCATAAGGAGCTCATTCTGACCTTAGTTATTTGAAGTGTTGATTATTTTCCCTCCTCTTCTGCAGCACAGGACACATAGCCTCTGTTTCACCTTCTCTCACATACCATGCCCCCTCTCTCTGTTGGCAGATTTAAATTTCACCATTTTTTTCCACTTGAGCTTTTGATATTTGTATGCTTTGTCTACCGCCATCCTTAAGCCCTTTCAAAATAGTATGGACCCCATTTATTAAGATGCTGATATGTCTGGATGTAGCAGGTTTATACACATGGCTTGAAACTTATTTCTAGATCTCTGACTCTGTCTCAGCTCTTCCCTAGTTCAACTCTCTGTTTCTAATCTGTTTTACTGTTCAATAAGAACTTCTGCTCCTAACCCAAATGCTTTCTGCTCACTTTGTATAAAATCCCATAGTGTAAATATATCTAACTGCTAGGGGACGCTCTGAAGATTTTGCTAAGCCACCCTGTTCGACTAGGTGTCTGCTTAGCTAGTGACATCCTGCTGTCCTATGTGGATGTATGAGGGGCTTCCCCCCATCTCTGTGTTCTTATTTGGGTATTGGCGGTGCTATCGGGTTTTTATAACTACAGTTTTTTGCTATGCTGGAGTGTCCAAGGTACCACAGTATTTTAAACAAATACTAAAGTTTTACTAGCCTGAAACAATTTCCCATTAGCCTGGTTTTTCCCCAGGGCAATCTGCTGATAGTGAAGTAAGCAGTTATTTCAAATTACTTCATATGAATTGTTATTCGAGGTAGCCAGGCAAGTAGCTTTTCCAAGGCTTATTAAACTAGTAATTACAGTTGGCAAAGGAGAGCTAAGACTTGAGTTGAAAAAATGTGAGTGTTCTTGAAGAGCCCAGCCATCTCCCAGCATCGTGCCCTGGTCCTCTGTCCTATGGGGTCGTTATCCTGGATTCTAGCAGGCTCTGTTTAGAGGGCTTGGCTCATATGCCTATTAGATGAACAGTTGTGCATTTCCTATGAGGTTGGCCGCGTGCCCAGCTGCTCCCTGTGCCTCTGTCCTGTACAGATTGATGCCTTCCAGCACATGCAGCACTTCGTTCAGACCATGCAGCAGCAGGCCCAGCATGCCATCGCCACCGAGGACCAGCAGCACAAGCAAGAGCTGCACAAGCTCATGGCCCGGTGAGGTCCCCACTGGCCAGGGCCAGTCACCATCCAGCCCTGCCATGCCAGTAGCCTCTGCAGCTAGGGGAACGGTCAAGGCTCCTTGGGCATCCCCCTCACCTTTTCCTGTAGGGATCCCGGGCAGCCATTGAATCGTGCTGCTCCCAAGTCCCTTCCACTTATTTTCCCAGGACTCAGCAGCCCAGGAGCACCATGTGCTGTTCTCCTGGTGTCTGGCTTTAGAGTTAGACTCCTTGTTTTCAAATGCCAGATGTGCTGCTAATTTGATGTGTGACTTTAAATAAGTTACTTAACCTCTCTGTGCCTCCATTTCCTTATCGTTTAAAAAGGGCAGAGTGATAGGCCGGCCGAGTGGCTCAGTTGGTTAAGAGCTCACTCAAGAGTACGAGCTCTGAGCAACAGGGTCGCCGGTTCCATTCCCGGCCCGAGCTGAGCTGCCGCTGAGCTGCCAACAGGTGGCAGGATGGCTCAGCTACTAAAAAAATTTAAAAGGGCAGAGTGAGAGTTGCTACATCCTAGGGTGGTAAAGTGGTATGAGGATTAATGGAAAGAAGACAGTGCCAAGCATTTAGAGCAGTACCTGGAGTAGAGGAGCAGTCAGTGAATATTAGCTGTTAATATTACCACCATAAAGAATGGAGAAGGAACCAGTGACAGAGAAACCATATAGCAACCAGTAAGAAAAGCTACTTTCGACCACTGTCACCCACAAAACATGGATTTGGGATAGATAGGTCTATACAGAGCTACATGTGCAGGTCCCTGGTTTATGTTAGTATTGAGAGACAGGGGTCAAGAAAAAGAGGTAATACCATAATGATGTATCCCACACTCCCACCTTTTTCTTTCCATGTGCTTGGGAATTCTGTGGCTTCCTGAGAGCAAATGTCAGAAAGGCTTTAGTGCCCCCCTACCATAACTCATTTTCCTTGGGGGGTGGGCGGGGCGGGTATTTTGAGGAGGGAGCAACATATGGGCTTGTTTCTCTGTTTTCAGTTGTTTCCTGAAACTTGGGGAGTGGCAGCTGAACCTCCAGGGCATCAACGAGAGCACCATCCCCAAAGTCCTGCAGTATTACAGCGCTGCCACGGAGCACGACCGCAGCTGGTACAAGGTAACGCAGCCGCAGAGCTGCGGGGTCCCCAGCTGTGCCTTCTCCACATGGCACCCTCGCCACCTGGCAGCCCAGCTGTGCGCTCGTGCTTTACAGCTGTGCACTTGCTGCTTTGGCTGCTGGGAGCTGGGCTATCAGAGGCCCCTTACAAGTTGAGTGTGTCCAGAAAGATTGGTAGATTCTTTTATTCGAGAAGGACCTACTACACCATTATTATGTACTAGGAATGCCACTGTCTCACAGACCCTTAGCTGTTTGTTTTCCTAGGAGCATCTGGACACATGGTTAATCTCTGGAACATTATCTTCCCTTGGGTCATCTGTTCCTTCCCAGGTTCCTTCAGATTCCCATTCCTGCCTGCTCTTCATCTAAGAACTTAACTTTATTTTTATTGGAAAGCTGTGGGTAACATCCTGTTACGTCATAGGAAACTTTTCAAGAGGGTAAACAGAATTAGAACATGTGTAAAGGATGTGATTGGCTGGTAGAGGAGAGGTTCTTGGAGGCACACATCTTAGGCGAGAGCACGCGTCCTCATTGTCTTATGTCTTCCCTGAGGGGCCGCTGGCAAGAGCTGCTTGGTATGGCAGATGGCCTTCGATCTCTTTGTAGTAGCTCCTTAACCTGCTCATAGTTTGTGAATTCATTCCTCTGGGATTCAGACTTGCAGCTGAAGACCAGAGAAGCATCTTATCCTGGTTAAAGCCAAAGTCTTATCCTGGTTTAAGCATGCTTCATTCTGACCTGAAAAATGCCCATTTCATGATGTCAGCAATCATACTCTCTCTAGGAAAGCTGTAGTCCAACACTAGAAAAATAAATCCACGATTAACGCTTGGAACATTACTAATTAGAACTATCTCCTAACCAGATTACCTTTCTTCATTCAACTTTTAGAAAACAAATCACAAGAAAAAAATTGCTTACTAGTTTTAGTTTTTTCCTAGTGTGGGTCCTTTTGGGCTTATGCTGTCTCGTACCATCAGTGGTGTAGTCCCGTGTGTGTGCAGAGACTGTTGCTGTCTTGGCCACCGTGTCCCCCAGCTCAGTGCCTGGCACATAATACGTATATAAGAGGTATCTGTTGAGTAAATGAAGGTTTGGGAAAACGAAACCAAGATGATTGTAAAATTCTTACTCATCAGATAAAAGTCAATTATGATCCATTTACTCTGCTTAAAAGGAGAAATGGATACATTTACATTAAAGGAAGGTTTTTAGCAAGGAACAGAAAGGAATTTCCTGGTTATCCAGAAAGTGGAACCATGAGTGGATTATTTAATGCCCTATCACTGCTAACCTATGAGGCCCTGAATCCAACTCTGCCTCATGCTGTCTACACTAGGCAGTGCTGTCTATACCATAGCGTCATTGCAGCCCCAAACCTCAGGTGTGACTAGTTTCTCCTTTAGCCAAATGAGCACCAGAGGCTTCTTCCAGCAAATAGTCATTAAGCCTGGCTCTCTGACAGGCCACAGGCCACAGGCCACAGGCCAGGCGTGAGGGCTGGACAATGAACGAGGCTCGCCCTCCAGCATGTTCCCTTGCCCTCGCTGTGTTGCCTTTCCCGCTGTCCTCCGACCTGGGTAAGGCCTTCACCTTCACTCCCCTGAGCCTCAGACCATGTTTCACGCAATGCTGCCAAAGGACTCTTTACAACCCAGTGAAGCTCTCTTGCCTGCAGAATGAAATGGGGCCTCCTTGGCCTAATAGGCCAGCCCCTCCATACCCTGACCCTGCCAGTGTGCTGGCCTTCCCCTCACTGCCCTGCTGCACATAACCCAAGCTTCACCCCTATCCGTTCCTTTCCTGGGAACAGCTCTGTGCTTGTCTGCCTGCATGCCTGTCCCTGTTCTTCCCCGCCAGGAAGTCCTGACCGCTTATACCCTCCTTGCCCACTGAAGGCTGCTCCTCAAGACATGCCCCAAACTCCTCCTCTCCTGTCCGGGAAGCTCTCGCAGGCCCGCCCCTGGCGTTCTCATCCGTCTCCTATAGCCCCGGTCACATTCTGCCTGTCTTCAGCTTTGTGACTGAGCTCCCCTCCTAGATTAGAGGGTCCCTGAGGCAAGGATCAGAGCGTCTCCTCTTCCAGTGCCCCTCCCCCAGCACTCGCCACAGTCCCTGATACAGTGAGCGTGCCACAAAATGAACAGATCACGGTGAATTTAGTAAAACGCCCATTCCCCCGTGTTGCGTGGAAATGCAGTTTTGCTCTACTGACCACTGAGCGCAAAGGGCCGGCCCAGCATCTGCCTCAGCTTTGGCCTCACGCTCCTCCAAGCCCTCCCTCGGTGCCCGAGCCTCTGTCCGCTGCTGTTGGTCACAGCCCCATGGTCTGTCCTTGACTCCCGCCCCACCCAGGCCTGGCACGCGTGGGCAGTGATGAATTTCGAAGCCGTGCTGCACTACAAACACCAGAACCAGGCCCGGGACGAGAAGAAGAAGCTGCGTCACACCAGTGGGGCCAACATCACCAGTGCGGCCACAGCCGCCACCACGGCGGCCACGGCCACCGCCACTGCCACCAGCACCGAGGGCAGCAACAGCGAGAGCGAGGCCGAGAGCAGCGAGAACAGCCCGACGCCCTCTCCCCTGCAGAAGAAGGTCACTGAGGTACCGGGCCCTTCCTCCTCCCTAGACTGACCCCGGCGCCCGGCGCCAGGCGCTGAGGAGTGGACAGTTCAGCTTTAGGGCCCCGAGGCTTTCCGCCGAGGAGCCAGATGAAGCGAGAGAGCGCTGCTGACCGTCCACCCAGCGTTGCTGGAGACCGTGCTTTTGTGCACGTGTGTGTGTTTGGGGAGCTGACGTCGTGCAAGCTGAAGAATGAGTTCTTTGTCGTGCTCCGCAGTGCATGAGCTCATTCTGACGGCGCGCACCTGTGTGTGGGTGGCCGTGCACATCTGCAGACAGAGCCACTCTGAGGACAGAGCCTGGCAGGTTCCATCCCTGCCTTTTGTCCCCCCTCCCACCTCCCCTTGGGCTGTCAGTTCAGAGGCACCGGGGCAGCTGGCAGGACCAGCGGTCAGCATGTTCAGCACCTCAGCCCCCTCCCTCCTCTGCCACCTGTTTAGGAAGCCACCGGTAGGCCAAGATAATAAGTTATGGCACCATTGCTATTTATTGAGTGCTTGTGATGTGCTGGGCGCCGATCAGAAGGCTCTTCATGCATGAACTGATGTAATGCTCATTGCCACTCTTTGAGGCAGGTCCTGTTAGTGCGCTACTGTGCCCTTTCTACAGATAACCTGAGGCAAGAGTGGCACTAACGTGTGTGTTCCCACAGGACTTGTCCAAAACCCTCTTGATGTACACTGTCCCTGCCGTCCAGGGCTTCTTCCGTTCTATCTCCTTGTCACGAGGCAACAACCTCCAGGATACGCTCAGGTACCAGGGACAGGAGGGGGAAACACTGGTAGGCCATGTGAATGAACGGCAGGACATAGAAGTTACGCGTCAAGTCCGCTTACCCTTCCCCACCGCAGTCAGTACATCCAAGAGTAACAGTTGACCAGGCCCCACCCATGTGGGAGAAACCTGCAAAGGCTGAGAAGTGGCCTGTGAACTCTCCATATGTGGTGTGTTATGCTGGGAAGAAGAAACCCACGAGTTTGTCACATTATTGCTGAAATCCCTTCAGCTTTTAGAGCCAACTCTGAGAGACCTAATCAAATGGTATGGACCAGCCAATCCAGAGGCTGCAGGTGACAAGGGTGACCTCCTTTGTTTGGGGACCCCTGGCTGGCTAAGCGCCAGGTTTCCTGGTTGCCACTGTTCTACAGGTGGCTATGCAAAGGTTATCTGTGGCCGCCTCTGTTAGATTTCTGAGCGTATACCATGTGCCCCTCTACATGATCTGGAATGAAATGATTATTCACTTGGGATGGCCCCCTAGTGTTCAGTCGAGCACTGCTGGCCATCACTGCCCACCCGCTCCCAAATGGTCCTGAGACCAAACACCCTGGAGAGCCATTGATTTGAGACCCTGCCAGTTCTTCTCAAGAACCTTAAAGGTGAAAAACACACAGACAAAAGCTGGGAAACTAAATTTCCTGTGGCTTTCTCATTTTTCTTTTCTAGAGTTCTCACCTTATGGTTTGATTATGGTCACTGGCCAGATGTAAATGAAGCCTTGGTGGAAGGGGTGAAAGCAATCCAGATTGACACTTGGTTACAGGTGAGGATGCTTGGCTACAGGTGAGGATGTTGGGTGAGGATGGTGGGTTACAGGGTGAGGATGCTGGCTACAGGTGAGGATGGTTGGTTGTGGGTGAGGCTGCTGGGTTACAGGTGAGGATGGCTCAGCTCCCCTCTTTCCACTTAGAGTCACGCATTGGTCAGAGTAACGGGGCAGCATGCACTGTGCAGTGCTGAGGAAGTAGGGATCAGTGCCAAGGTCAAGACTCCGTATTTCCTTTAGTTTCTTTAGAGAACTAAAGGGAACAAATCACTTCACTGCCCAACAGCATTTACCAGAACAAGTTACAAAAGCTAGTCATTGCCCAGAAGAATAGAGTTGTTTCCATGGCTCATACACTGCATACTGTGTTTTTTTGAATACCAGGTTATACCTCAGCTTATTGCAAGAATTGATACACCCAGGCCCTTGGTGGGACGTCTCATTCACCAGCTTCTCACAGACATTGGTCGGTACCACCCCCAGGTATGTGGCGGTCCATCTAACAGCTGACCGTTTGCTTCGGTGCTCAGCCTTTCCTAAAGCTGCTCTGGAGACAAGCCTCCCGTCCTGCCCCAAGGAGGGTCTGCCCAGCTGGCCGTCCCAGGAGCCTTCATGGAAAGAAAGAGTTCACCCTCAAGATTAAGTGGCCCCTGCCTGGCAGACTCAATGAGCGTTAATATCATACTCACCATTTCTTTTGTCATCCTCGCTAACGTTAGTGCCGGCTCCTCTGAAACATTTGCAAATATTCCTCTGTGTTTGCTTCAGGCACTCATCTACCCCCTGACTGTGGCTTCTAAGTCGACCACCACAGCCCGTCACAACGCAGCCAACAAGATTCTGAAGAACATGTGTGAGCACAGTAACACCTTGGTGCAGCAGGCCATGATGGTGAGTCAGGAGCCAGGGCGGGACTGCAGCGCCCCTGGTCACCTGGCCAGAGGCCTTGAGCGAGACGGCTTTTCCTCCTCACGGCAGTGCTGCGTGCTCCCTCTGGCTGCCAGAAAGAGTAGCTCCTGTTTTTCCAAGACAGGCCTGTCTGAGCTGAGGGCATCCTTGGTGCTTCTCTCCTTCCCTCTGCGATCCAGGTGAGTGAGGAGCTGATCCGAGTGGCCATCCTCTGGCATGAGATGTGGCACGAAGGCCTGGAGGAAGCTTCTCGTTTGTACTTTGGGGAGAGGAACGTGAAAGGCATGTTTGAGGTGCTGGAGCCCCTGCACGCCATGATGGAACGAGGACCCCAGACTCTGAAGGAAACCTCCTTTAACCAGGTATGGGGTAACAGCATGAAATGACATGACCCAGAACCTTTACGGGACTCCTTTCCCGCTAGCCTTTCTACTGACTTGAATAAAATGTACTCTGTGATGAGGTCATAGGATATAAAAACACCAGAAACTTAATTGTCGTTAAGTTGCAAAACCCTCCTGAAATTTTACCTGGAAAACCCCATTCCTCACGAGACCTTACTTTGCCTACCAAGCCATCCTGAGAGTGGGAGCTCAGGCTCGGGCCTGTGCCTCCCACCACAGTGTGCTCCTGAGGGGTTCTGTGGCTGTGGGGAGACTCAGCCCTGGGGCTAGTCGACACCCGTGACCATGTGCCATTTCCCCTGCATTTCCTTTCAGGCATATGGTCGGGATTTAATGGAGGCCCAAGAGTGGTGCCGGAAATACATGAAATCGGGGAATGTCAAGGACCTCACCCAAGCCTGGGACCTCTATTATCACGTGTTCAGACGAATCTCAAAGCAGCTGCCACAGGTGGGATCCTCAGGTCCTAGCAGGGCTCAGTATAATCCTTTGTTTTGTGGTGAATGTTGAAACACTCACCCCAGAAAAGCAGCTGGTTTTACTTACACCTACAGACTTTGGGACAAGTGACTGCTATTAGCAATTCATTGAAAAACACTTAAATTGCATTTAAATTCTTCCCTAGAGGCAGAAAACTAACCCCTGTGGTAATTATTCACAGCTCACATCCTTAGAGCTGCAGTATGTTTCCCCCAAACTTCTGATGTGCCGTGACCTTGAGTTGGCTGTGCCAGGAACCTATGACCCCAACCAGCCGATCATTCGCATTCAGTCCATAGCACCATCTCTGCAAGTCATCACGTCCAAGCAGAGGCCCCGGAAGTTGACACTTATGGGTAAGTACCCTTGTGCACTTCTGCCACCTGTGTCTCCTTCCCACCCTGGCTGAACACCCCCTCCTCTGAAATTACTGCTTGCTGTTCACACTAATCTTTCATATGTTCTGTCTCTCCTGTGTTTATTGAGAGAGAAATGGAGGACAGATTTCTTTATTCCATCCTCCTCAAGACTCCTAGTTCATTCAGGTAGTTGTGCTTGTTTAAGTGAAGCATTATGATCCTGCAGAGAACAGGCAGAAGGAATTGTAAGGCCTGGTTCCTGGGCGTGGTAGGCAGCTGTGGGGGAACCGATGAGGCCAAGCAAGAGGCACCCAGAGGCAAGCGTAGACATGACAAGCTACATTGAAGGAAAGCTTCTGGCCTCTGTGATACTCTTTTAGACCAGGGGTCGGCAAACTTGAGACAGAAGAGCCGCCAGAGTCAGCAAACCGTGGCTCGTGAGCGTGTGGCTCTGAAGTAAAATTGAAAATGAAAATAAAACTACCATAGTTTCATGTATAAAATTTTTAAAGGATATTATTCAGATAATGGTGATTATATAAAAATATATTTATGGCTCTCAAATAATTTTTAAATTGTTGTGAGGGACAGGATTGGCTCTTCCAGGGGTTGGCAAACTTTTGAAATGGAACGTACCCAAAGAGCCACATGTGGCTGGTGAGCCGCCGTTTGCCGACCTCTGCTTTAGACCATCACAGTCCCTGTTTGTGGGAAATGATTGTGTAAAATCCAAACAATTGAGGATGAGTTCTCACCTATCTGGGACAGTTTCGGGAGGCCTAAGTACTCGGGTGGCACTTCGAGGTCTCTTGCCTTTACTAATAAAGCTCATGTGTTTTAAATGCAGTGATTATTCACCAGCACCAATTGCTTGTGGTCCACAGGTGATTGTCTCCCCATGGGCTGGCGTCTCCTAATACTAAAATAGGACAGTCGGATTCTCAGCAGTATTTAATTAAAGGGACCTAATGAAGGAACTGTTTCAGAGGTGTGAGCAGAGTTAAGAGAACCAACAGTGAGAAGCTATTGCCCCCACTCTCCAGCCCTTTCAGGATCCCATCAGGGAAGGGCTTGTACCCCCAGAAGCTGTAGCCCAGATAGATGAACGCAGCTGCTTCTAGAACTGTGGCCATGCTGGCTGTCAGGGGTAAATACCCTGACCTCTCCCTCTCCCCGCTCTCTGACCTCCTGCCAGTGCCCCCATTAGCCAACCCCAACTGGGAGCCCAGATGATACAGTCTGGAGAGGTCAGGCTTCTCGGGTCAGAGCAGGACAGAGAGGGGCAGAAAGTGGGTAAGGGAGGGGAACACACAGAATGACTGCTTCTATGCAGAATCATTCGTGATCCTCAAAGACGGCTTTTTAACATTTATTTTTAATTTGAATAGTATTGGGGGACCATTGTAGCAGGGCCATTCTTTTCATCATTTCAAGGGAGTGTCTTTCTGTTTGCAGGGTAAGGTATATCCAGTGGTGGTCTATCAGCTGACGGGTCTGAGACCCTCTGATCTGCCCTAACCTCTCCACTATTCCTACAGGCAGCAACGGGCACGAGTTTGTCTTCCTCCTGAAGGGCCATGAAGACCTGCGGCAGGACGAACGAGTGATGCAGCTCTTCGGCCTGGTCAACACCCTTCTGGCCAACGACCCAACCTCTCTCCGGAAAAACCTCAGGTATTCAGGGTACCGTGCAAACGGCGAGGATTTGAGGAGGCTTCTAGTTTCCTCCTCCATCTCTCCCATGTAGCCATGTACCTTTACAAAACAAATTATAAAAGTATGTACCCGGCAGGAAGTTGTCAAGAGCCAAGGTGTCAAACACAAAAAGAAAAACCCTCCATATTTTTAGAGTAGTCCGATACAAAATGCCTTTAACAACCTCCGAAGGATCCAGAATGGAACACTTCGTGGCCATTAGACTGGAGATGCTGCCAATTTGATGTGTTGCACCCCTCGTGGAATTCCAGCCTGGCCAAACTTGTCCTCTCCTTAGTCCACTCTTACCCCTCTCAATCAAGAATGTGAATAGTACTCTGGGAGGTTATTTTAGGCTTAGAAGTAGTCACTGGATTGTTCCCCCAAAGCAGCGAGTTTGTTGGGCAGGTGGAGAGGCCGATATGCTTTCATCCCATCAGCGCACTGTCTTTATGAGATGCTTGAGCCTTTGCAAAAGGCCCCTCATTACACACCTCACAATAGCCCTGTGCAGCGGGCTCGTAACTAGTTTGCGTGTGCCATGAGTGGATCAAAGGTGCGCTTTGCTGCTGTGCAATAACTCTGCTTTCCTGTGGGCACCAGCATCCAGAGATACGCAGTCATTCCCTTATCAACCAACTCGGGCCTCATCGGCTGGGTCCCCCACTGTGACACGCTGCACGCCCTCATCCGGGACTACAGGGAGAAAAAGAAGATCCTTCTCAACATTGAGCATCGCATCATGTTGCGGGTATGTCTCAGGCAAAACTCACAAGTCGGAGAAGCTATAAACTGCTTTTCTTGTGCTCCTACATATGTTCATCACTGAAAAATCGACTTGAGGAAATTTGTTATTGAAGGTTTAAGAAAGTGAGACCTGACATAGATAACCTTCTCTAAGAAACAGGAGGGTCCTAAAGCCCAGGAACTCTTTTCCTCATCCTAGATGAGGCTGCACAGGATTACTTATCAGGTACCTGATGCATACAGAGCACTAATGTTTAGTAGATGTGGAAGGAATAAGAAAAAATTGTTACCCAGAACCATAAACCCTCCAGTGTGCTCATTCACACCAGTAGGCTTGTCCTGCGTGGAGACCTCGTGTTTTACCCTTAGGCCCCGGGGGTTCCTGTGGTCATCAGGTTAGCGTGGCCACTGTTATTCCTTCTGCAACGTTCTGATTGCCCTTCTCCTTGTGGCTGTGGTGTTGAAGTTAGAACCCAGCTCTGCCTGGACCCAGGGCCTGTTTCTTCCTGGGCTGAGGCTCTGTCTTGGGCTGCTCTCTGGAATGCTTGTGTTCTGATGCAGATGGCTCCAGACTACGATCACCTGACTCTGATGCAGAAGGTAGAGGTGTTTGAGCACGCTGTCAATAACACAGCGGGGGACGACCTGGCCAAGCTGCTGTGGCTGAAAAGCCCCAGCTCCGAGGTAGGCACACTCGCTACCCTTTGGCACACCCCCTCTTGTCGGGAGGCCTTGCTCACTTGCTCCTGCTCACCTGTGGGGCTCATCTTTGTCACGATTAGCTGCAGGTGATGTGCAGTCTTTTGTAACAAAAGTTAAATGGGTGAGCCCTGCAATGTAGCAGGTGTAGATTGAGTATAACATTTCTCCTTTTACTTAAAATAGTGTTTGAGCCCTTTATTTATTAAGGCTATTTAATCTTTTTCATGTATGTTATGAATTTCCTGTTTATTTGGTGTTTTAATATTGGTAATGGCCTGTTTCTTGGTTTGGGATTTTTATTTTGTTTGATATAGACACATTTTTAAAGTTAACAGATTTTTAATCCTTTAAAGTTTGTGCCTTTGGCTTTATATTTAGAAAGGCCCTGTCCACCTCAAAATTATATATCTTTTTACATATATTGTACTAATTATAAGATTTCTTTTTACATTTAAATCCTAACCCAATTTTGAATTTGAGATTAGGATATAAATTTTATTAAGCTGATCAGCCAACACCACAGTATTTACCAAATAATCCACCCTTTCCCTTTTAAAAGACTCCATTTTTATTATACACTAAATTCTTACATGCCCTTGGATTTCTTTCTAGAGCTTCTATTTCATTGATCTTTCTGCCTGTTTCTTAAGTACCATACTATTAATACTCAAAGAAAATGCCACTGAGTTTTTATTGGAATTACATTAAATGTATCAAATAATTTGGGAGGATATTATCTTTACAATCCTAAGTGGAAATCCTTAAATGAATATTTACTCAAGTCTTTATATTTCTAAGCAGAGTTTAATTTATTCATCTAAGTTCTGCACATTTCTAAAGTTGATTCCTAGTATGGTTTATTAATTTTGTAATTATGAAGGGGATCTTTATTCCATTATATGTTCTAACTGGTTATGATGGAATAGAAGCAAACAACTGACTTGCATATAATTGTGTGGAAACAAGTTAAAGTGTCCAGAGCCGTGGTTCACTCATGCCTCTGTATTCTAGGTGTGGTTTGATCGAAGAACCAATTACACCCGCTCTTTAGCAGTCATGTCCATGGTCGGGTATATTTTGGGCCTGGGAGATAGGTGAGTGAATTTAATTTGTTTCTTTTAGTCTTCTTTCTCCATTGTAGTATTCTTGAGTGGTTTCATTTTGTTTTCTGGTGAGATTTATGACCATTTGGTAAATATTTGTATTTTGTACTTGAGGCATTTTTTTTGGCATCAACTAGTCCCCTATTTATTATCCCTGCCAACAGAACAACACATCAAACTAAGAAGACAAATCGTAGTTCAAGGGTACTACTTTCTGCATAGGTTGGTTTAATATATTAAAAACCATATTAAGGATTGATTTTAATCAATAAACATTTATCAATCACTATTATGCTAAGATAAAATAATTGTATTTCTGTAATTGGAACCAACCAAAGTAGATCCTTCTGATATTTCTTCATAATAAATTTTATCCCCATGTACTGACTGAAAAAGCAGTTTAGGAATGTTCAGAAATTGACGCAATAGACTTATTTTTATTTATTTTTATTTTTTTTTAGCTGAGCCATCCTGCCACCTGTTGGCAGCTCAGCAGCAGCTCAGCTCAGCTCGGGCCGGGAATCAAACTGGCAACCCTGTTGCTCAGCTCGCACTCTTGAGCAAGACTCTTAATCAACTGAGCCACTCAGCTGGCCCTAGACTTTTTAAACTAGTTTTACTATGTCTACTATTTTTCCTTTTTCTTTTAAAGGTTTTATTGGGGAATTGGGGAAGGGGTATAGTGTTGGGGAATTGGGGGAGGGGAACAGCCAAGTTGCTGTCCTTCAATCTTAGTTGTGGAGGGCGCAGCTAGCTCAGCTCCCAAGTCCAGTCTCCATCTGGCTGCCCTTTGGCAGCTCGTGGCCACTCAGCTCAAGGTGCTGTGTTCAATCTTAGTTGAGGAGCCCACCATCCCATGTGGGAGTCGAACTGGCAACCTTGGTTAGGAGCATGTGCTCTCACCAGCTGAGCCATCCTGCCACCTGTTGGCAGCTCAGCAGCAGCACAGCTCGGGCGCAGCTCACTGGCTCATGTGGGAATCAAACCTGTAACCCTGATTCTCAGAGCTCGCACTCTTAACCACCTGAGCCACTCAGCCAGCCTGCTATGTCTCCTATTTTTCTCCTGGGATCATGTCTCATATAATTATTTGAAAGTAAAAATAATTTTATCCCTCAAAAATAATAAATTCTTGTTTAAAAAAACAGAATGCCTGTTGACAAAAGTCAGGTGATCCTGCCTGGATTGGCTGGGGAGCCCCTGCTCAGGGAGACAAGACCTCATGATAGGTGCTAAATAGGCTAAATAGTAATGATAGAGCCTTGTCACTCTAAGATGCCAGCACTGCCAGAAACAATTTATCTCATGACCCAATTATCATGGTATCATGAGGCAACTTGTGATTCACACAGGTAAGTCTTCACTTCAGGCCTAGAGCAGGTGTTGGCAAACTTTTTCTATAAAGGGCCAGATAATAAATATTTTTAGCTTTGTTGGCCATACGATCTCTGTCACAACCACTCCTGTCTACTGTTATAGTACAAAAGCAGCCTGAAACAATACTTGAACAAGTGAGCACAGCTGTGTTCCAATAAAACTTTATTTACAAAAGCAGGTGGGGGTTGGATATAGCCTGCGGGCTATTGTTTGCCAACCTGTGGCCTAGAGTATCACATACTTGATTGATGTATCACTGCTGTTCTCTTGCCCCTGCCCTGGTCTCGCTGCTGTTTCTCAAAGACACCCATCCAACCTGATGCTGGACCGGCTGAGTGGGAAGATCCTGCACATTGACTTTGGGGACTGCTTTGAGGTGAGCACGTTCCAGAACACCACATAAAATAAAGCTCACCTTCCCAATGACCACTTTTCACCCTCCTCTGACCATTTTGGCAAACTCAAGCCCAAAATGCATTATCTCACCCCTGCCTCTCCAACCATAGGTGATAGAAACGAAATCCATGCCCTTCAATATTTGCTGTAGTTGGACTCAAACGCCACCACTCCTCCCCCTCATGAAGCGAGGGCCACTCACTGCTCGCACACCCTCAGCCTCCACAGGGCCTGCTGGTCGCCGGCCTGGGCATGATGCACACTTGTCCTTTTCTTCTCCCTCTCTCTCCTTTTTTTTTAAGTTGTCTTTGAAATCCCTATGACAAGTCCCCTCGATAAACTCAAGCTGCTTCATTTCTGTGCTTTAATTGAAATCAATACTGGTGATGCAAAGAGAAACCGCCTAGCTTTAGTGAAAGAAAACAACCTAACCAGTGGACTTGGGTTCTTTCCCTTTATTGCCCTATAGGTTGCTATGACCAGAGAGAAATTTCCAGAAAAGATTCCGTTTAGACTAACGAGAATGTTGACCAACGCTATGGAGGTGAGTGGATGTTGGTGACAAGCTCCTTTGGAATGGGGCCAATGCAGTTACGACCCTCTCTGAGAATGGACATGCTTGTGAGGTCTCATCAGTTCCCCAGAATGCACAGGCTGTTGCAGTAGTCTTTTCCTGGTATTTTCCATTGGGTTAGAAATGATCGATCTTTGAAAGTATTACCATTTTTTGTGTTATACCTTGTTTCATATGAATCACGGTCCTGACCCCTTGCTCCAAAGACATTCCCAGCCTGATACATTAGTAATGGCCTGTGTCTGCTTCCTCAATGGGGGTCACAGACCCTCTCCCCTTCCTGACTTGGTCGTGAGGCCTTAAAGGGCCAGTGTCCGTGACCTGGGGTGAGCAGCTCTGGCCCTTGTGCAGGTTACCGGTCTGGATGGCAACTACAGAATCACGTGCCACACAGTGATGGAAGTTCTTCGGGAACACAAGGATAGTGTCATGGCTGTGCTGGAAGCCTTTGTCTACGACCCCTTGCTGAACTGGAGGCTGATGGACAGTGAGTATTAGCAAGTGCTGGGAGCTCGAGTTGGCCCCCTCCCAAAGTAGGAATAGCTGACAACGTTACATTTGACTAACCCATGGCCCTTCAAGCCTAGAGCCCAAGATACATTACTGAGGTACTGCATTACATTTTCACAAACTAACTCTGGTGCTAGAAATGAATTTCAAGTGTTTAACTAGAACAGAAAACTCCAATCAATTTAGATCTTAATTAAAATACTTTTTAAGTATAAATTAAGTACCCTAGTGATTTTTGGTTGTTTGGGTTTCCTATAGAAGAGCAAGCTGGAATTTTGATAGGAGATGCAAACCACTATGACTTGGGTCAGCAATATCTCAGCCTGCCCTTTGTCCCTACTTCCTTAGAAGAAGTTTACTAACACGAGGCATCTAATCACTGTGATGTTATATTTCCACCTTGTGTTACCTGGTTTACATTGTCTAAATCCAATTCAATGATACAGTGTGTCCCTCAGGATTCGATGGGATACCCATGCTAACATCCACCCACTTACTCCCGAGTAGTACGTCTTTGGCTCCCTCTTAGGGGTTATAGCTTTAGGTAACGTTATATTTTTATGATTGTAAGAAAATATCACACCAGCCAAGTTTCTTTCAAGTCAAAGTTCGAAGCACTTTCTAATTCTCCCTTTATTGATTTCTCCAGCAAATACCAAAGGCAACAAGCGATCCCGAACAAGGACAGATTCCTACTCTGCTGGCCAGTCCGTAGGTGGGTGCCTCCTGCGGGAGACTGCAGGTTCTGTCCCCTTTTATCCAGAGTGTTTCTGGAACAGGGTAAGCTTTGTCACTGCCCTTAGGAGGCATAACTCAGAGCAGTAATGGATGTTGAAAGGGAAGGAAGGTTCTTTCACTGCTAAAATATCACCTAACAAGCATTTATTTAACTTCAAAAATTTGGTCTAGAAATATTTACTGAGCACCAAGCACCGAATACATGTTTTTTATCTTAATGCCTCTCAGGATGGAGTGGGTACCTGAAGCTCAGAAATTTTTATCAAACTGTCCAATCTATCTATAAAAATATAATTAAAAGTGTGTCTGAATACTAGCCAGTATTTAGCATGCCCTTTAGTGGTGTCTGGATTGGGATAATTATTAGCTATATTACCTTGAACCTAAAGCATTGTTAATGGCTCAGAAATGGGAAGGAAGATGGAAGCAGCAGAAATGTACTCACATTGCTGCCTGAGGAGCCAGGAAACCACGTGGAACATTGTTTGCAAGAGTGTGGTCCACAGAACAGGGTCCTAGGAGGATAACGTCCCACAAGAGCCACAACGGGGTTGTATATTGAACACCCCTCAGAGGTCATAGAGTAAAGCGTTTGACTTTGTTTATCCTTTCCCTCGTCCCCCAACCCCAGCCTGCCCCTTTTTTCTTCATAACATCTACACAGTTCACATTTTGGGACATAACTGTTGGGGATGTAAAAAAGTAAATTTTATGGAACATTTGCAACTAGTTCCTTGGTTAAGCCAAATAATGTTTAAGTGTACATGTGACATACAGAGATTACCCTAAAGAAGCACAGAATCACATTACAGTGTTGACCAAAGTACATATGAAGTAATAAACACAGTACATCCCACCGTGTAATCAAGGACCATGTGATTTGGTTTGGAATAGAAGGGCTGTGGGACTTAGAGAACAGAGTTAGCACTGAACTGCAGTAGTTAAGGGAGCTCCCGAATTAGTGGAATTCAGGCTGAGACTTGATGGGTGGCATCTGGATGGGTAGAAAGGAAAGGTGTTTTGGGCAGGAAACGGGGTTCCTGGGTTACAGCGGCATTGGACACACGTCGACTCGGCCCTGGACACTGTGATAGGATTTGTGAATGCCCGAATCGCCCCAGTGTCTGAGGTGCCTTGTGCAGAAGGCTGGTCTCATCCAAAGGGTGTGAGACTGTTTAACTCGGAGGGCCCACCTCATTGGTATGTTACCGGGTGACTTCTGCATGCTGCCTGTGGCGTGCAGAGGGGAGTTAGGGCTCCCAGCCTGGTGGCACCCAGACGGTGGTGCGCCTGCTTGTTTTTATGTGGCTTAAAGTTAAGTTCCAGAGGGCCATGAATAAAAGTGTTATTATCACGATCTTTATTTCGAAGGCCTGTGGTGTATGAGAGCAGTGCGTAAATAACCATAATTCTGACTTGAGACATTTCTCTGTTGAAGGCCACAGTCAGTGGAAGGTGACCCTAAAGCCTGGACACGTTTCCTCCACAGAATTGGTGTAGAAGTTCCTCCAAGGAAGCACATTTTGGTCATATGTGTGACCCCTGAAAACTAGTTTTCTTTATTACCAGTTTTTGTCAAAGCAGATAAGTTTTGTCACCAGGTCTTTGACTCATGCTCCTATTCTCTATGTCAGAACATTTTATTAATGCTGTTTACTTGGAAAGTCATGCTTTGCAGATTTAAAAACTTTTAAATACATAAGGAGTTCCCTAATGCTTCCTTTCCCCTTTTCCCTTTGAGGCGGGGAGGGCAAGTGTCAGAGGGACGGTAGTGTGTGAAGATGTAGAGCTAATACCTTGGAACAGTGGCTTCTTAGTGTTTGAATTTTTTTCTAATTGATTTTTTTTTCCTTCTAGAAATTTTGGATGGTGTGGAACTTGGGGAACCAGCCCATAAGAAAACGGGGACCACAGTGCCAGAATCTATTCATTCTTTCAGTAAGTCCAACCTCTGAGGACTTGGGCCAATGACTAGCTTATTAAGAAAATAGCAGCTGTGTTTTACCACGAGAAGGTCAGTGAGATGAAGCAACAAAACCGCCTTTGAGCAAAAAAGGCTCCATGAATTTCTCATTATGTTCTAAGGACAAAGATAGACACAGAGGAAGAATTGCTCAACACTTACAAAAGTGAATATTTGAGAAAAGCAGGGCCATCCATTGACCCTGCTGTGATGATCTAATTCTTACTGTTATTTCTGTTTTGTGTGTTCCAGTTGGAGATGGCCTGGTCAAACCTGAGGCCCTAAATAAGAAAGCTATTCAAATTATTAACAGAGTTCGAGATAAGCTCACTGGTGAGTGTGTGTGTGTGTTTACTTACAAGGATCATAAAATCTGAGAGACTTTTCTTTTCTTGAGTGGGTTGTCACCCATTCTCTAGTGGTGTTGTTGCCTAAACTTTAACTATGCTGCTAATGCGAGTGTCTCTGAAGCCATCAGTTTAATGACCCTGTAGTTCTCTAATGACCAAAAAATTTACTTTAAGTCATGTTGTTAATCTCATTTTAACAGAGGTATGTAAAGTTCTGTTGGGTCCAAAGTCAGCCAAATTTAGGGAAAAAATTTTTATCATCATGACTTGATATTAGAGCAAATCTGACTACTCTGATCATTGCCTACAAGCGCTAGATGCTGAAGAAACAGTGCTGATAAAAATGGCAGGTTCCCTGCCTTCGTGGGCCGCAGAATCTAAAGGGCAGCACTGTACTAGGTGGGCGAAAGGGACTCGGGGCTTTAATGCCAGTAATAGGGGAATTTCATCTAAGTTCAGGAAAAGATTCCCTAAGCAAACCAACCCATAAGCTAAACCTGACCATGAGCAAACCTGACCACCCTGATCATTGCCTGTCTGTGCTTTGATAGCTGTTATGGAGTGGAGAGTATGAAAGAGGAGAAGTCTCCTTTTGAAAAGGAGACATGTCACATTGACCAGATGGTGTGACGTAAGGGGTGGGAGTCGGGGAAACCAAAGACCCCAGCTCCACCATTTCCCGTGTGACCCCTGGGCCTCCGTCTCTTCATGTGAAGATGTGGAGAACACCTCTCAGAAGGTGTGAGGCTCCGCGAGACGTGGGATGGCAAGTGCTTAACACTAGGGCCTGGCGCGTATGTTTTGTTGTCAAGGTATGTTTGTTTATTGAGTACCTACAAGCGCTAGATGCTGAAGAAACCGTGCTGGTAAAAATGGCAGGTTCCCTGCCTTTGTGGGGCGCAGAATCTAAAGGGCAGCACTGTACTAAGTGGGAGAAAGGGACTCGGGGGTCTAATGCCAGTAATAGGGGAATTGAATTTAAGTTCAGGAGTTCAGGAAAAGATTCCCTAAGCAAACCAAGCCGTGAGCTAAAATCAGAAAGAGGAGTTAATTAGGGGAAGATTGTTCCAGGCGGGAGGAAGCAGCATGCAAGTGCCCTGCGGTGGGAGGGTGGCCACAAAACAGGTCTGCAAGCTGGCCAGCCTGACCGCCCCAGAGAAAGGAAGACAGGAAGAGCCCAGTGCAAAATGTTTTCACTCTGAGTAGCCCGGGGCCAGCTCTTACAGGACCTTGTTTTTATCCTCTCTCCTAAGGGCAGTGGGGAAGCTCTGGTGGTTATTAGGTGGGTGGGGAGGGCAGAGGAGGGCCTGGCTGGGCTTACAGTGTGAAATGCTGCTTGCTCTGGCTGTGTGTGGAGAATGGATCAGAAGGCCAGAGCAGCTGCCAGTCATCCAGCCTAGACAGTTGATTGGACTAGGGTGGTGGCAGTGGATATGGATTCAAGAGATCTTAGGAGGTAAAATCAAAAGGATTGATGATGGGGGGGGGGGCTCAAGAATGGCCCCAAGTCATTGGTGACCTTCTAAGAGCTGGGATGAGGTTCTAGGTGTCATGGCTGCCTCTACAGGCTAGTACGGGTTTGCATCTTTGGTGGGGAGGGTTCAAAGCCCACACCCAGAAACCTAGCAAGGTAAAGTTGCGTCTTGGTTGTGGAGGCGACAACTTCTCCGGTTCCTCGGCGATGGCTGCATCCGGGAGTGGTGTGGCCCAGAAAACCTGGGAATTGGCCAAAAACATGGAAGAAGCCCAGAGTATCGATGAAATCTATAAATATGACAAGAAACAGCCGCAAGAAGTCCTGGTGGCGAAGCCCTGGACTAAGGACCACCATTACTTAAGTACTGCAAAATCTCAGCATTGGCTCTACTGAAAATGGCAATGCATGCCAGATCGGGAGGCAACCTGGAAGTGATGGACTTGATGCTGGGATAGATGGACAGCAAAACCATGATCATTATGGATAGTTTTGCTTTGCTTGTAGAGGGCACTGAAGCCCGAGTAAATACTCAGGCTGCTGCCTACCGGCACATGGCAGCATATATAGAAAATGCCAAGCAGGTTGGCCGCCTTGAAAATGCAATTGGCTGGTATCATAGCCACCCTGGCTACGGCTGCTGGCTTTCTGGGATTGATGTCAGTACTCAGATGCTCAATCAGCAGTTCCATGAACCATTTGTAGTCATGGTGATTGACCCAACAAGAACAACATCTGCAGGGAAAGTGAATCTTGGAGCCTTCAGGACATACCCAAAGGGCTACAACCCTCCTGATGTAGGACCTCTGAGTACCAGACTATCCCACTTAGATAGAAGACTTTGGTGTGCACTGCAGACAATATTATGCCTTAGAAGTCTCATATTTCAAATCCTCTTTGGGTCACAAATTGCTTGAACTTTTGTGGAATAAATACTGGGTGAATACGCTGAGTGCCTCTAGTTTGCTTACTAACACAGACTACAGCACTGGGCAGGTCTTTGATTTGTCTGAAAAATTAGAACAGTCAGAAGCCCATCTAGGATGGGGAGCTTCATGTTGGGCTTAGAGACACATGACCGAAAGTCAGAAGACAAACTTGCCAAAGCTACGCGAGACCCTGTAAAACTACCATACAAGCTATCCATGGATTGATGTCTCAGGTTATTAAGGATAAACTGTTTAATCAAATTAACATCTCCTAAACAATCACTAAGTAGTACTTTTGCCTGAAAGCCAGTATGAAAAATACTCAAGTAACACTTTAAAACCAGGTACCAAAAATCTGATTAGAAGTATAAGGTACTCTGAAGTGTCCTGAATATAAACATCCTGTAATAAAACTCTTTCAAATTAAAAAAAAATTTTTTTAAAACCTGGGATGAGCCTGGCACCAGAGGAAGCAATTGAAGAGACGGTGAAGTGAGAGAGAGAGAGAGAGAGAGAGAGAGAGAGAGAGAGAAGCGAGGAAATGAAGACAAATTCAAAACTCTTGAGAAGTTTGGCTGTATAGTACGGAGAGAGGACGTAGCTGGAGAAGTAGTTAAATGAGAGGCTTTGTTTCTTTAATGGAAGAGAGGAATGTGTTTAAAAAACAGTAAGAAAAGGGCAGTTGAGAAGGAGAGTTGGAAGGCATGAGTGAGGAGAGGGGTAATAGCAGGAGGTGATGGGATCCAAGCGCAGGTGAACTTGGCCTTAAGTGGGAGGAGGACAGCTCTCCAGGGTCATGAGAACAAAGAGGAAGCGCATATTAAATTAGTCCAGCACCTCAAACACTGCCTGACACATCAGGGATCAAAAACTATTCCATGAAATAATTAACTTGCAGAGTAGGTGATGAGGGCATCTGCTGAGGGTGAGAAGCCAGAGGAGAGGTTTGGACATTTAGAGAGAGTAAAGGACTTGAAATGATCCTTATGGAGATGGACAGGCACGTTGCCTAAGAGGCAACATAAACGAGCCAGGCAGTGCCGTGTCTGGAGGTTGGAGATTATGACTTTATAATGGAAGCAACTGCCCCGTGGAAGGAAAGATGCAAAGATGCAGGCTAGTGGGATTGAAACAGAACAGGGTTTCTCATCCACTTGCCCGACTCAAGAGTGATTATGGATTAGAAGAAATCTTCAGAAACCCATCAGCCAGATCTGCCACCTGCAGGCCTTGACCCTCCTTAACCAAGTCTGTTAGGAGAAGGAGGCTGGTGCTTCTTCAAGTCACGTGGAGATAAATTTAAAATCCACCTATCGTATATAGCCTTCATACTCATACGTAAGGATAAACCGATCGGGGCTGCGTAGACAGTTAAGCCAAACGGCCGAGGAGGGAGTTTTTACCAGGTGCAGATTAAATGTTTTGGTTTCTCCTGTCCTAGGTCGGGACTTCTCTCATGATGAAACGTTGGATGTCCCAACACAAGTTGAGCTGCTCATCAAACAAGCAACGTCCCATGAAAACCTCTGCCAGTGCTACATTGGCTGGTGAGCGGGCGTCTCAGAGCACCTTTGTTAAAATGAGCAGTCAGGACCCCCACCCTGTGCCCCAAACCCAGAGTCACAAAAAAAGATTGGGAGGCAGATGGTAATCTATAAAGGGTAATCGTAATTCACATCTCTTTAAAAGTTTGTATTCACTGTGTGTTCTCATTGCTCTTAAAGGAAAATTTGAGAAATACGGATGCATATTTGGAAGGCAAACACCAAAATACGTTAAAATTACATTTTAAATGGTTTAGAAGAGTGAGGCTTCCTTATTTTGAGGGGGATCTTTGTGGATTTTTGCTGTCAATTCCAAGATACAGAGGGCAAAGAAAAAGAAGCCAGAGCAGCAACAGAGAAGGAGATGAAAAGACAAACTTTTGATCTGGGATTATAACATCAAGGACCACTCTGAGGTCTGCTTTGATTAATTGCCTGTGGCACGCTTGAAGGTAGAAACTTGAGAGAGAGGGCAATGCAGAAGTGTCCTGGGTCCCCAGCAGGTGTCAGCCCTTGACTGGAAATGACGAGTGTGTCTGGCACAATTAGAGGTGGGAGATCCCAGGGAATGTCCCCGGGGTTGTCAGACTTTGGTCTTTCCTTTTGCAATGTACTTGTATCTGTATAAAGCTTTGAAGAAGCCCAAATTATTAAAATATTCTTTTTCTTTCTGTTACCTTAGGTGTCCTTTCTGGTAACCAGAGGCCCAGACATGCCCCCAGCATTTCTCTTGAGCCTTTTGAACTTTGGTATATGCTTCCACTAAACTGCAACCCTGGTCAGAAAGCTCAACTTTGTTAAATATTTTGAAATGTAAATGAAAAGAACTACTGTATATTAAAAGTTGGTTTGAACCAACTTTCTAGCTGCTGTTGAAGAATATATTGTCAGAAACACAAGGCTTGATTTGGTTCCCAGGACAGTAAACACAGTTAATACTAATCAAGCCATTTATTTGGGGGAACAGAAGATCCATAACTTAGAAATACGGGTTTTGACTTAACTCACAACTCATCATAAGTGTTTGCTAATAGCAGAATGGCCTAGTCGTTCCTCTCAGCACGAATACAGCAAACTCAGAGCAGCCAAGAAGCCTCAGGTTGTGGAGGACACGTCTTAGGATTCTGGACCATAAGGAAGCAGGAGAAGCCGCCTTCTTCACTTTCACCCATCCCGTTACCTCACTGGTCCGTGGACAGCAGCAACAATATTTGCAAGATGGGCCAAAATGGGTGGGAAAAGGTCCGTCTTCTGCCTCACCCGTGATGCTGCGATGTACACACTTCAATCCAAGACCCAGACCACTAGGAGGGAAGTTTCTTCAGATGACTGGGTGCCCTCAGCTGAATACATGCACAGAGGGGATCTCAGTGCAGTGGAGTGGCCCACATGGGCCTTCCCCAGCCAGTTGTGGGATGTTTTCAGTGAGGTCTGAATGCTGTGTTTAGAGCAGGGGCTTGGAAAACAGAAGTGCTGTCATGGAGGTGCTGTACACAGAGAAGGAAGGCCTAGTTACATGTTGGGAATTCTGAGCAAAAGAAAAGTTAAAACTAAATGCACAAAGTATAAAATGTAGCCGTGTCTAGACACCATGTTGTATCTGAATAATTTTTGTGCCAATAAATGACATCAGAATTTTAAAAATGTATGAGTGGCTTTTTCTTCATAATTATTCATAAAGAAAGCAGTTATTCCTTCAACATTCACAAAGCCCTTAGTACTAGGGACCATGAAGGACACTGGATCTACATGACCTGGTCCGTTTCCTCGGAGTGTTCACGGGCCAGAAAAGACTTAGACAGCATCATGCAGGAGTGGACTGGCAGCTCCGCGACACAAAGAGGTGTCACATACCGGGCGTGGGCCACAGGTGGGGCTCTGAAACAGCTGTGCCACTGGGCCAGCCAGGAAGACCTCATGGAAAGGGGGACATTGCCGTGTGTCCAAAAGGATGAGCAGGAGCTTGTCAGAGGAAGCAAGCGAGGACATTCTCAGTGGGAAAAGGCGGAAAAGCACAGTGTGATGCAGAAATGACGCATATTAACTTGAACCATATTAGATTGCAGGGGTTCAGCCATTTTTTACTTATAAAATGGTGGTTTCACACAGTCACACCTCACAGTTCAGCACATCTACCTCAGTGGTCAGTGAAAAATAAAAACAATAAGAACTAAAAGGAGGCTAGAAAGTAGAGTGGGGCCAGACTGGCCTGCCTCACAGTTCAATGGCAAGGAGATTGAACCTGATTCTGTGGACAGCAGGGAACCACGTGAGGTTCTAAAACAGGCTTTCCTCCTCTGAAAGTGTGGATACTAGTATGAGGATTAGATAATCCATGTAAAACACTCAGCACAGCCAGACAGGTGGCATCAGGTTCAACCATATGAAATAGGTGCTCAAAAATGTTAAATGAACTAGGCTAGGCCTTTGCTCTGCCAGGGTGCTTGTGTACCTCCGGTACACAAATGGGGGAAACAGTGAAAAACAAATATCTTATTAATAGGATATTCTGAATAATGATAAAAGCTAATATTTACTGAACACGACTACACCAAATGAATTGCATTAAGGGTGTGCCACCCGATCTCAGAATATATACCCACTGAGCTTCCCGAATCCCTCCCCTGAGCTGCCTAATAGTGCCTCCCTCATAACAAGAGCTCTTGAAGGCATTCAGTTAGCAAATGTTGCGAGTTCCCACTGTGTGGCTAAAAAACGGGTTCCAGCAGTGTAGAGAGGAACATGTGATTGGAGCTGGAGGACATAGGTTAGGTGGGAGCATACAGATGGCTTTTTCCAGTACTTTGTCTACAAGAGGCAAGAGAAATGCCATGGTGGCTAGAAGGTGGGGGGTGGAGTGTTTTTCGTTTTGTCTTTAGTTGGGAGATGCCAGCATACGTGTAGGCAGGCTCTTAGGAATAAACCAGTAGCCTGGGAAAAGATGATGCAGAGAAAGGGGATAATTGCTGGAGTCAAGATCAAGTGGATAGGAGGGGCACGGAACCAGAGCTTGGGAGGAGCTGGCTTTAAATATATGGATAATTGCGTCCTCTGGGTCTCCCTAAATCCCTAAATCACAGGGCTGTTGGGATGATACAATATGAGGATCAAGAAAAATGTCAAGTTCCCTAGGTGGAGCGCTCGCTGCTGACACGTCCAACTCACACACTCCTAAGATCGTCCCCCACGAAGACGGCCTTTGCACATGCGTGGTGCGCGCACGGCGCGTCGGCCCGAGGCATTCTCGCGAGAAGAGCCGTGCAGGCCGGAAACATGGCGGCTCCCAGTCCCCGGGAGTCCAAGGCCCCGTCGGCTACGAGCGCAGCCAAGTCCGACGAGGAGATGGTGCTGCCGGGATTTCCGGACGCAGACAGCTTCGTGAAGGTGAGTTCGCGGGGCCTCGGGGGCACCGTGAGCCTCCAGCCACGGGCCGGAAGCAGGCCCGGGCCCTCTCGGCGGCCGCACGCGAAGCCCCGGGCGGGGATCGAGGGGCCGCTGCCCGCGCCGGGCACAGTATCTCACGTCACCCTCCGGGGATGGGGCCTCGCGTGCGGACACCGAAGGTCGCCCCGCTTTCCGGCGCGCCCGTTCTCCCAGCGGAGCCCGTGCAGCCCTGAGTGTGGAGCGCCCTCTCCACAGGGGGAAGGGCTTCCTTGTCACTCCTTCGCCCCAGCCCTCGCGACCTGCCCCCCGCCCAGGCCTGAGCCACCCATCCAGCTCTCCCGAGGGGCTCGCTGCTTTATGTCTCCCATACCTGCCTACATGCCCCGCTCCCGCCGCCGAGATAGTGCCTCTTCCCACTCCTGAGGTCCAGTCCTACATAACCCCAAAACCTGGGTTTAATGTCACCTGTTAAAGCCGTCACCAAATCTCCCTCCTCAAGGCACCGTAGAACATGCATCAATGCCTCCTCGAAAGAACACAGAGAGGGTTCATTTAAACTATTTGTGGAATGCTGCTTAAATATGAACAAACATAAACGTAGTTTAAACGTCTCATGCAGTAGCTCTTATAAAACCATGAAACTAAAATAATTTGTAAGTCAGCCCTACAAATTCCCCATCACTCCACTCACATCTCTAATTTATCATTAGTAGATGCTATTATTAATTCATTTATTTGGCTTGGAAGAGTTCCTGGACCACTAGCCATGGTCCTGATTGGGTGTGTTCATGCTTATAAGCTACCACGTACCCCACCATAACTCAAGCTCCTTTCTCTCTTCTTTTTCTTGGAAAACTTTTATTATGCAACTCACAGGGAAGTCATTTGGCCTTCACATGACCATCTTTTTTATCTAGAACAGCCACTTCAGGTTTTTTTCTCATTACCACACAACAATTTAAACAGGACTACTTGGCACTAACCGAACCGTAAACATAAGTCCAGTTGTGGGTAGTAGCCATTATCAATTAGTCATCCAAAGGATCTAGAATATTCTTATATTGTTTTTAGATGCTTGCCCAAATGAAACCACAAAAATTAATTCCTGTAGGAATCTCATGGATCTGAATTTGAGTAGTAATAGTAATAATAGCACTTATGTGCCAGGAACTATCCGAAGTGATCTTATTAGCTCGTTTAATCTTCTCAACAACTCTATGGGAAGCTGAGCTCCAAATAAATGAAATAACTTGCCCAAGATCACAGTTAATAGGTAGCAGAGCCACAATTCAAACCCAGGCCATTTTGAATATTACTCATATCATAGATGATTTGTTCTTTGTCTCCCCACTCCTCCAAGAATGTAAGCTACAGAACTTGCTTTCGTGTTCACCATTGTATCTCAGGACCTGGGGTAAAATCGGCACTAAATGGATATTTGTGGTTTTGGAAATCATCATCTAGCGCAATGTGTTATATATAATAGATGTTGGGGGAAAAAAGAGTTGCTGGGCGAATGGGAATCCATGTTTAAAGCGTGCTTGGTTTTCTGGGTTTTGACAGTTTGCTCTTGGATCAGTGGTAGCAGTCACCAAAGCGTCTGGGGGTCTACCACAGTTTGGCGATGAGTATGATTTTTACCGAAGTTTTCCTGGCTTCCAGGCATTTTGTGAAACACAGGGAGACAGGTTGCTTCAGTGGTAAGTACTATATATTGTTTCCTCATGTTGAGAGAAATGAATGTAAAGAAGTAGGTAATGTTTTCTGAAATTTGTTTTGTCTTACCATAATTTTCTGTGCTGTAAAGCGCTATGAAATGTAAAAATAAGAGTGGATTTTGATTAGGGAGACATTACTTGGTAAATTTTGAGTTTAACTTTTAAAATATATTGACTTTTGTACCTACAGACAATGAATCCTTTTGAATTAACATAGAACTTGAAAACCTAGATCCAAGATTCTCTCACACAACTTGCAGAGTCACAAGTGTTAGCCTTCTAGTAACTATTAGGACAGACAGTACACAAACACTGAGTTTTGTTTAGCTGTTGCCTGACAGAATTAGGGAATGTTTTAGATTCATGTTAAAACAGTGAATGCAGAATACATTATTTACATAGTATTGTACATTTTTTAGAATTTAAAGGAAGCTTTGAAGTAATTTCTTCCATCCGTTCAATTAACAGCAGGTGAGTCTTAGTGAGATGGAGTGAATTGCCCAAGGCCACACAATGTTTTTTGCTATAAGGGTGCAAGTGTTACTCGTTTGATCATAAAATATTGGGACTAATCTGAGTGAAGCCTTTCGAGCTTTCTCCGAGATTGTGAACAGTGACTAAAAGCGCACACACTGACCTTGGTTTTCCTGTCCTCAGCATGAGTACGGTAATGCAGTACCACGGGTGTCGAAGCAACATTAAGGACCGAAGTAAAGTTACTGAGTTGGAGGACAAGTTTGATTTACTTGTGGATGCCAATGATGTTATTCTGGAAAGAGTGGTCAGTATTTCACCTTACTCTTTTTTTTTAATTTTTAGAAGAGTTTAATTGAGCCAAATTGACGATATATGACAGGGAGCAAGATCGCAAATGCTCTGCAGAAGTACAGCTTTGCAGCTTCTTCACCTTACTCTTAAGATAACTAACAAACGAGGAGCTTTTGTATTCTTAAAATTATGAAAAGCAACCCAGGCACCTCAGGAAACGAAAAGGAAGTTTCGCATTTCTTGCCTGGAACACATTTCTTTCTTCTGATAGTTGGCTTCTTTTTCCCAAAATAACACAGTTGTCTTCAAATGTATCACTTCAAAATATCACTGCCCAGTGGACGCTGATTTGTAAAGTGCCTTAGAAGTCTTTCCAGATTTGCAACTCCTGTTTGCACTCAAGACAAGAGGCTTCTAGATACAAAGCCCAACCAAAATTTAGCCCATTTTCACTGTTAGTCACAACCTGCTAAACACCCCAGCCTGCGTGATTGGAAGGATATGTGGATCATTCTATCTAGCTTACTGTCTGCTTATGCCTAATGCTACCGCAGAACATTATTTGCAGGAATACGCTGAGATCATCCACAGCAAAGCTAACAGTCAACCATATGACGGTCCTGCAGATATTTAAATCATGCTCTCCTGTCCCGTGGAGTCACCTCTTCCATAGTCTGAAGGCCCACAGACCTTTCAGTGGTTTCTCATATTTTATAATTTCAAGTCCCGCCATTTGTCACTGGGGTGCACTACTTTTAGTTGTGCCCAAGCTGATACTCCTCACCTGCTTGTACAAAGTAAATCAGAGTGCCCTTCATTCTCATTCTAAGAACCATCCTTCTGTGTTTAATATATGCAGTCTGGGGTCTTTTTAATTATTTTGGTGAGCCACATCACACTCTTAAATCAGTTTTGAATTTTCAGCCCAATTCATAACTGTAAAGAAAGTTGAATAAGTGTTGGGAGGGGCTTGTTATTGCCCTGTCTTAGGGCAGGTAATGCTTTAATTATTTACTCTTACATGTATTTATTCTCACATACAATTCTCTGAATATATTTCTTAAAAATTTTAGGTAATTAACTCTGTTAACGCTGAAAGGAAGATGCTGAGCTAATATCTCTTCCACTTTTAGGGTATTTTACTGGACGAAGCATCAGGTGTGAATAAGAATCAACAGCCCATCCTCCCTGCAGGATTGCAGGTCCCCAAAACAATAGTGTCCAGCTGGAACCGTAAGGTAAGGGCTGCTTTTCAGATTCACTAGAGCCTCTCATGTCAGCTTTTGCCCATTCTAATTTGCATTTGTAGTCTAATTTTTTGGACACAAAGCTGGCCAGGGCCTAACTCATTCTCATAAGCAGACATAACCTAATTACACCCTCTTTTCTACTTTGCATGCCTCAGTGCCACACATACGTGTTCTTAAATGAGTGGCTCTTGGAATGCTCTCATCTTTTTTTTTAACAATTTTTTTTTTTTGGATTTTTTGAGGAATTGGGGAAGGGGAACAGTGTTGGGGAAGGGGAACAGCCAAGTTGTCCTTCAGTCTTAGTTGTGGAGGGCACAGCTAGCTCAGCTCCAAGTCCAGTCGCCATCCAGCTGCCCCATTGGCAGCTCGCGGTCGCTCAACTCAAGGTGTCGTGCTCAATCTTAGTTGCGGGTGGGCGTAGCCCACCATCCCATGCAGGAGTTGAACCGGAAACTTTGTTGCTAAGAGCACATGCTCTAATCACCGACCACGGAGCCATCGGCCATCCACCGGCAGCTCAGGACAGCTCATGCTCTCGTCTTCTTAATGGCATAAATCGGAATTTATTTTTCTAATTCATCGAGTTGCTATGTTGTAAAGTTTTTATATTTGTTGATCATAGGCAGGAGAATACAGCAAAAAAACAAAATCTGAAACTTTTCGGCTGCTTCATGCAAAAAACATCATCCGACCTCAGCTTAAATTCCGAGAGAAGATTGACAATTCCAACACGCCATTTCTTCCTAAAATCTTCACCAAGCCCAATGCTCAGAAACCCCTCCCTCAGGGTAAGTAGTGCAAACTCTACCTAACAAAAAACAAATAAAGAGGAAAAGGTCTCCTTCCCACCTTCCTTCAAGGGGAGCCAGTTAACTTCTGTAACTAGATAAGACGTGAATGTGTCTACATTTTTCGTGATGGTGTTGTTGCCACTGTTTGGGTCTCTAGCTCTCTCTAAAGAAAAGCGAGAGCGCCCACAAGATCGTCCTGAGGACTTGGATGTTCCCCCAGCTCTGGCAGATTTCATCCATCAGCAGAGAACCCAGCAGGTGGAGCAGGACATGTGAGTGTTTACCTGTCTGAACGTTCTACTGCAAGTGTTGTCTTTATGCCACATTTTCACTGTGTTTCACTTTTGCAAAATGTGTGAGTGAACACAAAGAATCGAGGCGATTTCTCCTTATCCTGACATGGATCTTATCCTGTTTGTGTTCGCAGAGGGCCTGCGCAAGTGCCATCTTATGTGGCCCTCAGTGCAATCTGAGAGGTTGCAGTTGCTCTCTTCCCTGTTGTTAGATGTCACTGCAGAAGTGGAGATGCTGACTTTCCATAGAACTAGACCTTCAAACCCAAGTTTTCTTAAAACTGTTCTTCCTCTAGACCAGCGGTTCTCAACCTTCCTAATGCCGTGACCCCTTAATACAGTTCCTCATGTTGTGGTGACCCCCAACCATAAAATTATTTTCGTTGCTACTCTATAACTGTAATTTTGCTACTGTTATGAATCGTAATGTAAATATCTTTTTGTTTTCTGATGGTCTTAAAAGGGTCGATCGACCCCCAAAGGGGTCGCAGCCCACAGGTTGAGAACTGCTGCTCTAGACCACTCTGCCTTTCTTGTTAGGTGGGGACTCCTTATTTTATTGGTAAGGGAAGGCTCACTCATAGATTCAATAAGGAAAAGGCATTTTTCTCTAGCAGGATAAGCATTTTGTAAAAACTGCATTTGAAACAGACAAAAGGGCTTTGCCTTCAGTATAAAGAAAAAAGGTGATGAAAACTTTGTTAGTCTTAGTCTTTTTCTCACATGTACCTGTCTGTGTGAACATCCTTTCAGTCCCAACTCTGCACTGTGAGCCACAGGCTAAGTGCTAAAGAACTAAAGGTAATGAGAGGGAGCCCTGCCCTCAAGGAAGCCACAGACTCAGGGTTGTGATACGAGAAGCATATGGAGGAACAGAAGAAATACATTAATATATGACCGTATTTGCCCCATCCTCTCTCTTGACAGATTTTTATTCCAAACCACAAGGAATTATATATTTCATATTTTGGTATCATCCACAACACCAGCCTTACATTGTTTTGTAAATAAGTGCTCAAATTTTTATAAATGAGTAGTTTTTTGTTGTTGTTTTTTAATTTTATTGGGGAACATGTGGTTTTTCCAGGACCCATCAGCTCCAAGTCAAGTTGCTGTCTTCAATCTAGTTGTGGGAGGGCGCAGCTCAGTGGCCCATGTGGGAATTGAGCCGGCAACCTTGGTGTTTTGAGCACCACGCTCTAACCACCTGAGCCAACCGGCCGTCCCAACAAGTAGATTTTTAATTATCATACTTTCAGGGTAAGAAGTAGCACCTGGATTTTTTTACTTGAATTATCATTGAAATACTGATACTTTTATAGAAAGGAATTATTTTCACAAAGGCCTTTTCTTCTTTGTTTTCACAAATTGGAATTAAGCAGTTTTTCCTTGAATCACGGATTTAATAAAAAAGATTTTTCTTTTTGTTCTATTTATTCAGGTTTGCACATCCTTATCAATATGAACTAGATCACTTTACTCTACCGGATTCAGTCCTTCAAAAGCCACAACCCCAGGTTAGTACCCAAACCTAGCTTAGTTTATGGCTGGCATCCGAGTAG